ATAATTTTAAAATCAATAACCAAAAGGCTAGCAACAGCAGTCAGATATTATTTAAATGCAGGAGTCAGCAAAGGCCCAGTAAAATAGAATAGACTCCACTGCTTGCAAGAAGATAGACAGTAGCAGCAGCTACTCTGCCTGCAAATAATATCCACTTAGGTCAAAAGGGGGAAAGTTATTATTTTTGTTTTTTGTAGGACACCTACAGAGTGCCTTGGACCATGGTGGACTCTTTTCTTAAGTGCTGAACTGGGGCATAAACCAAATATTGTGGCCAGTGTCCACCCGTAACTGTCACTATCATCTCTCCATATACAGTGGTGCCCCGCAAGACGAATGCCTCGCAAGACGGAAAACCCGCTAGACGAAAGGGTTTTCCGTTTTTGAGTTGCTTCGCAGGATGAATTTCCCTATGGGCTTGCTTCGCAAGACGAAAATGTCTTGCGAGTCTTGAGATTTTTTTTCCGCTTTCCCCCCCCTTTATCTAATCCGCTAAGCCTTTAATAGCCTTTAATAGCCTTTAATAGCCTTTTAGCAGCTAATCCGCTAAGCCTTTAAGCCTTTAATAGCCGCTAAACCGCTAATAGCGCTAATCCGTTAAGCCGCTAATAGGGTTGCTTCGCAAGACGAAAAAACCGCTAGACGAAGACTCTCGCGGAACGGATTAATTTCGTCTTGCGAGGCACCACTGTATCCTGATTCACATTCCCTTCTGCAATCTAATTTCATCACCTCATTAGCTTCAGAAGAAGATTGGGTGTCCATGTTTCCTCCTTTATAGAGCAAAGTCCTTTATTTGAATGGGTTCCAGAGGGCAGTTCTCAATCTGAAGACATCCTCTATATGCCGCTCTTGGTATTATATTTTGTTAACAAAATGAATGGGATTTACAGAGTTGGCTTCAAACATCGGTCAGGGACCCAGCAGAAGTGAATTTAGGGTCTCACTGGGTGCAGAGCCTTGGAGGAACCACAGGGAGCGGCACAACTGTGAAGCAGAAGGAAAGGCGATAGGTGGGGGAGGAATTTTGTTTGTTTTTCCCCATATAATTTTTATTAATTTATTTTTTAACACAATATTTCCAACATTACAATAAACTCTTTGCTCTGCCGAGCTCATGACTTCCCTCCATCCCTTTTGTGTTTTCAAGTCTTTAAAACCTCAACTTCTGACCTTTATGTCCTTATAATCAACTCTGTCTCTTTAGTCTAGAAAGTTATAAAAAAAATTATGTTTTCGTTGCAGGATTTATTTCAATCCTGCTAGTGTCTTCATATTTTTTACAATAATTATTCATATACCCAATAAATTTACTGCAGCCTCTTTGAAACTTTTGGTCACCTTGGTTCTAGATTCTACCAGTCAGCTTGGCTAATTCGGGATGTTCCATCATCTTCGCCTGCCACTCCTCCATCGTTGGCAATCCCTGTAATTTCCACTTTGGGCTAATAAAGTTCTTGCCGCCGTCGTGGCGTACATAAATAATCTTTGATCTGCTTTTGCGATTTCAGGCAGGGGAGGAATTTTGGCATCGCACAGGGTACCACTAAAATATGAGACCCCAAGTCTGCCACTTCACCTAGGGTGGCCAGTGATGTGTTGTGGAAAAGAGGAAATGCACCATCACTGTCAATAAAGAGGGAGGAAAATAAACAGAAAACTAGATATGTCCATTTCTATCTACAGATCAGATTTTTGAAAGAGCAGCTATGAAATATAATCCATCTCACCATAGTGAGGAAGGTGGTGACGTCACCTGTGTGTCTCCTCAGTCTGCTATCCAGGTGTGGATAACTACTGAAGGGCAACTTCAAGGCCCCCCCTATTCTGATGGGGCCCTGTGGTGTAGTGGTTAAGAGCAGTGGACTCGTAATCTGGTGAACCGGGTTCGCATCTCCGCTCTTCCACATGCAGCTGCGGGGTGACCTTGGGCTAGTCACACTTCTCTGAAGTCTCTCAGCCTCACTCACCTCACAGAGTGTTTGTTGTGGGGGAGGAAGGGAAAGGAGATTGTTAGCTGCTTTGAGACTCCTTAGCGGGAGTCTCCTTAGCCCACAACATGCAGTCAGTGGATTAGAAAGATTAGGCTACTCCCCTAAATGTTCCCCTGGCGCTCCCTTCCCAAAACACAGGAAGCTTCTTCCTGGCTTAGGGAGGGAGACACGGTGCTCCAACGGGGTCCAAGAGCCCTTCATCCACCATCCCAAAGCCTGCCCATCCTGTCAGAGGCCTGGTGCCTTCTTCCAGAAGCCAGGGAAACTTCTGCTCAGCTTAGAAAGTGAGGCGCGTGTGACTCTCCCCTCTACCAATCGCCCTTGCAAGCTGGCGCCTCTGGCCCTAAAAATTTCACCACACGCCACTGGCACATGCCCACCCTTCTGGGACCTCAGTTGGTGTGGTATGATACTTTCAGCTCCACACATCATTATGCTGCAAGAGAGAGGATGATGCCTGCTGGAACAAGAAGGGGAGTGGGAAAGCCAACAGCCAGCACTGCAATGGAGTCCTGTGCAGGCCTAGATTTCTACCTCCTCCATAAAAATCACAACTCCCATTCTGAATCGGTAATCTTAACAGGAAAGCAATGAACGGTGTCAAATGGAAGTGGCTTGTGAGCCCCCTGGTGGAGCACTAGACTCCCTTGTACAGCAGTGGCAACTTTGGCTAACTGCAAGAGGAAAGAGTCGTGCTGGCCTCTCTGGCTTCAGTTGATATGTATATGGATCTGCAAATTCCCTGGTTCACATCTCGTCTCAGCCACAAACTTCTCAGGCAACCTACTATTTCCTAGCCACCAATCCCTCCACCCACATGTACAGTCCACAGAGAATAATACTCACCTAGTTTCCTCAGTTGTTGTAAGAATTCTCTGGTGGTATTTCCCTCTATTTATTATGCTGTTTTAACCTGTGTTGTAAAGTGCTTTGAGTTTTGTTTAAATATAAGTTGTATACAAGCTGGCCAAGAAAATAAAAAAGTTACTAGAAAAAAACATACAGTGGTACCTCGGTTTTCAAACGTAATCCATTCTAGAAGACGGTTCAAGTTCCAAAACATTTGAAAACTGAAAACTCAATAGATGATAGCCAGGCCTCAGGATCTTGCACTCAGCGGAAGCTGTGTTTCATGTTCAACTTCCGAGGCATGTTTGAAAACCGAAGCATTTACTTCTGGGTTTACGGCGTTTGAAAACCGAAATGTTCGTCAACGGAGACGTTCGAAAACCAAGGTACCACTGTACTTGAGGTGCTAGTAAAGGTAAAGGGACTGGGTTGCGGCTCTCATCTCGCTTTATTGGCTGAGGGAGCCGGTGTACAGCTTCCGGGTCATGTGGCCAGCATGACTAAGCCACTTCTGGCGAACCAGAGCAGCGCACGGAAATGCTGTTTACCTTCCCGTTGGAGCTGTACCTATTTATCTACTTGCACTTTGACATGGTTTCGAACTGCTAGGTTGGCAGGAGCAGGGACTGAGCAATGGGAGCTCACCCCGTTGAAGTGCTACAAACAATACAAATGTGAGATATGAACATGGGTGTAGCCAGAGAGGCGAGGGGGGCAGCTGCCCCTCTAAATCAAGTACAGTGGTGCCTCGCAAGACGAAAAGAATCCGTTCCGCGAGTCTCTTCGTCTTGCGGGTTTTTTCGTCTTGTGAAGCAAGCCCATTGGTTTAGCGGATTAGTGCTACAGTACTGTATTAGCAGCTTAGCGGGCTTAGTGGATCAGCTGATAAGCGGCTTAACGATAAGCTGATAAGCGGCTTAACGATCAGCTGATAAGCGGCTTAGCATCAGCTGTTAAGCGGCTTAAAGATCAGCTGATAAGCGGATTAGCATCAGCTGTTAAGCGGCTTAAAGATCAGCTGATAAGCGGCTTAGCATCAGCTGTTAAGCGGCTTAAAGATCAGCTGATAAGCAGCTTAGCATCAGCTGTTAAGCGGTTTAGCGGCTTGGGAAAAAGGGGGGGGGGAAAGGAAAAAAAACCCCGCAGGAACTCGCAAGACATTTTCGTCTTGCGAAGCAAGCACATAGGAAATTCGTTTTGCGAAGCACCTCCAAAACGGAAAACCCTTTCGTCTAGCGGGTTTTCCGTCTTGCGAGGCATTCGTCTTGCGGGGCACCACTGTAAATACATAAAAATACTTAACTAACTGACCACTGTGTCCCAGATAACTCAGTTCTGCCTCCCCTCCTTCGCTATGCCCATGGACTGCAAGAAGATCAAACCTATCCATTCTGAAGGAAATCAGCCCTAGGTGCTCACTGAAAGGACAGATCCTGAAGCTGAGGCTCCAATACTTTGGCCACCTCATGAGAAGAGAAGACTCCCTGGAAAAGACCCTGGTGCTGGGAAAGATGGAGGGCACTAGGAGAAGAGGACGAGATGGTTGGACTGTGTTCTCGAAGCTACCAGCATGAGTTTGACCAAATTGCGGGAGGCAGTGGAAGACAGGAGTGCCTGGTGTGCTCTGGTCCATGGGGTCACGAAGAGTCGGACATGACTAAACGACTAAACAACAACAACAAAAGCATTAAACAAATGATAGCATCTCATATCAATGAGATAAATGAATAAAATTAAACAACCCACTGATAATTCATAATAAAGTCTAACAATAGAAAAACAAGAACATTATCCAGAAAAAAGAATGCACCTCCAAAATGAATTCTTGAACCCCATAACAACCAAAGCTCATCCTGATAGTTTTGTGAAAGCCTGAATAGCAGAAGTTGCCGTTGTAGCTGGAGTTGTTGTTGTTGTTTAGTCGTTTAGTCGTGTCCGACTCTTCGTGACCCCATGGACCAGAGCACGCCAGGCACTCCTATCTTCCACTGCCTCCCACAGTTTGGTCATACTCATGTTTGTAGCTTCAAGAACACTGTCCAACCATCTTGTCCTCTGTCGTCCCCTTCTTCTTGTGCCCTCAATCTTTCCCAACATCAGGGTCTTTTCCTGGGAGTTTTCTCTTCTCATGAGGTGGCCAAAGTATTGGAGCCTCAGCTTCACAATCTGTCCTTCCAGTGAGCACTCAGGGATGATTTTCTTAAGAATGGATACGTTTGATCTTCTTGCAGTCCATGGGACTCTCAAGAGTCTCCTCCAGCACCATAATTCAGAAGCATCAATTCTTCGGCGATCAGCCTTCTTTATAGTCCAGCTCTCACTTCCATACATCACTACTGGGAAAACCATGACTTTAACTATACGAGTTGATGTTCTGCAGCTGTAAACCCAACCGATCATTGTGCTCTGCAGGAGAAGCTATACCGCAAGTATCATCTTATTCTGTACAACGTCAGAGTTGGGCTTTTCATGTGGCGAGACCAACCCTTTGGAAGTGCCTGTTGACGTCCATTTTCATTCCTTCTGAGCAGGAGATTTTTATCCCAACCGGTATCTGTACTGGATAATTTTTACATATGAAATCGTTTTAACTGTTTTAATATACAAGACTACTTTAAATTGTTTAAATATATATAAATTTTTTAAATTAAAAAAAACTATGTTTTTTTAAATTTAATTTAATCTATGTTGTGAAATTGCTTCAAGATTTATTTTTTGTAGGCAGTGCTTCATGAATATAGGGATAAACCTATTGATTCTTGCTTCTTTCTTGCCCCTTATTTGCTTGTTTATCATTTGTGAAACAAATTGCTCAAAGCACCATTCCTACTCTGCTTTACCACACCCTTCCTTCTGTGAACCTGTCCTGCACCTATTTCTTTCAAATCCCGCTTTGTTGACTTGTATCCCTTTTCTGGTATTCCCAGATCTGATCCTGGCCTCAGTTTAGTTAAAAAATGGTCCACATCCCTTAGACTTCCAGACAGCAAACCAAAGTAAGAAACTCTACAATCCTAAAATGGCACATTGTTCTGGTTTTGCTGAAAATCCCACCCTCCTCCTCCATGAAATCAAGATGACTTAAAAAAAACCAAACCCTGATAAACTACAATCTATGAATTATTCCCTCTAACCCAAACATCTGAAACTCATCAAATACAAACTTCAGATGAGCTCCCACTGGGAGCCAGTTCTGTAGGCCTTCTATGGCTTTTACAAGCCAGGCCATTGGAGGCTATATCCTCCATAGCGCAACTGAGAGGGCCACGTAAATCACACACCTTCAGTGGACTAAACCCAGAAGTTTTCAAAACGAGTTTTATTACGTCTCCTCTAAGCTCCCCCCTCCCCTTCCACCTGATGCTCGTCGATCACTCATCGGCTCAGGTATCAAACTTTCTGGACTCCTGCTAGAATCCAATCCCTGTGTGAATCATCCATGTAGTTTCAAACCCTCTTTTCCGGACAACACCCAAGAAACAGCTGGCCAAATGTTTGTGGTCCACACCACTCCAACAGCCATTAAAATACCCCCCCGGGGAAGGAATTCTCACAAAGGGAGCTCTTTCTCTCTACCAATTGCCTCCCGCAAAACTTTTCAGTTTTCCCACCCTGCCAGCCTTCCATTTTGTTCAGCCCGAGAACACCCGTCTGGAAAATGGCTGTGAATCGGACCGCACGACTCCCGGTTTCGCACAGGATGTGGGAAACGGCTCCCCTACAGGACAGGATTTCGGCAATGAAGTTTCAAGGGAAACACTGCTGGCAGGAGTGGAAGTGGGAGGGCCTCTGCGCTAACACCCCCACAAGGCCGCAAAGCATCCCTTGACCTGAATCGAGATCGGAAGCGGGGAAAGCACAAGCTCCCCTTCATTGTAGGCAAACATGAAATACGGCGTCTCCGGGGAGCCCTGCTCAGTGTTGTCAGCCCATAAAATGGAATCTTGCAAACAACTTTTCAGTGTCCTTCCAAGACGGGTTACCGCACAGCACCATTCCTCCCAGTGTTGTAATTTAAGTGCTCCATGGGGTCCGAGTCCCTTGCTGGGATTGCCAGAGCTCTGCATGCTGCAAATAATATTCTGCTTTTTCCATCTGTGACTAGATTTATGACCCAGCGGCAGTCCCCTTCTCCGATTCAGGCCCATCTTCGAGAGTGGATGCTGGAATGCAGCTCATGTGATATTTTCCTAAACGTCCCTGTAGTGCCATGAAACCCAGTTATAAAGAAAACAAGGACATGTTTTAACAATAAAACCAATGTGCATGATCTAATTAAATGGCATAATAAAATTAGGAAATAAATGCACAAAGCATGAAAACCTGTTCCTTGAAAAGTGAATCAAATTGGCTCCTTTAAAAAAAAAAGGAGAGAGAGAGAGAGAGAGAGAGAGAGAGAGAGAGAAATGTCGCTTACGTGGGAAGCTGCGGGGTCTTCGTTCACTCACCGGCACAGCAGCAGCAGCTAGCCTTGCTCATATTTTGGTTCTTCTTCCCACTGGGGGGAAATTAAAAAACCAACAGGCACAGGATGAACTTGCATGCTGGAAAAATGATTTTGCAGAGCAAGCTATATAAAGGCCTAGAAGATAAAGCAAAATGGAAGGAAGGAAGGAAGGCGGGCAGAGACTGTGGGCACATTCACGCTACAGACCTAAACTGGTTTCAGAGTCAATCCCACTTCCTAGGGAACTCTGGGAATTGTAGTTCCATGAAGGTGATAGGCCTCCCCGAACAATTCCTAGCACCTATAACAAGCCACAGTTCCCAGCATTCCTTGGGGGAAACCATGCCTGTTTAAAGTGGTCTACAATTGATATAGTGTGGATGTAAATGTAAAGGGACCCCTGACCGTTAGGTCCAGTCACAGACGACTGTGGGGTTGTGGCACTCATCTCGCTTTATTGGCGTACAGCTTCCAGGTCATGTGGCCAGCATACCTAAGCCGCTTCTGGCGAACCAGAGCAGCACACGGAAACACTGTTTACCTTCCCACCGGAGTGGTACCTATTTATCTACTTGCACTTTGACGTGCTTTTGAACTGCTAGGTTGGCAGGAGCAGGGACCAAGCAACGGGAGCTCACCCTGTCGTGGGGATTCAAACCGCCGACCTTCTGATCAGCAAACCCACGTCCCCCTATAATGTAGATGAGGCCATACTAAATATAGCTTTATCTATCTGCAATAATTGTGTGGCAGAGCATTTTGACAACCTCCAAGCCTTTGTCCACACAGGTGCCCTAAGCTTTTTATTCTCCTAACTTCCACGTGTCATTGAGTCTCTGGGGATGCTTCAGGAATTTGATATTTGGGAAGTCTGGTAAGGAACTGATCTGATTCGCATCCCCCTGGCTTAAAGTGCAGATCAAAACTGAGTTATGCCCTGGATTTGGCACTTCCAAATTCCAAAAATTTCCAATGCAGTTTTTGGCCAAAATAAAAAAAGTTTCAAAATATGTTCAAATATTTATTTTGGGGGGAGAGAAAATGCATTTGGAGGGTGTGGGAATTATTTTAAAATTGAAGTTTGTTGTGGAAATGGAGTAGAATGGATATATGGGTGAACACCAATGAAATTGTCATGGACTGGAAACAGTCCAATTCATCCACTCCCATTCTGGGGCATCTTCTCACATTCTAACAAAAAATAATACACAAGCATTCAAATGAAGTGGAAGTCCAGAACAGGCAAGGCACATGTATTTCACTTCCAATCTACACCATCAAAATGCGTGTGGTACAGCCTTCCTAGGGCTATACCACTTCAAAGTGAATGTGTGATAATTACAGTATTGAATGCTCTCCCATGTAACACTACCACCAAAATATCCCTGGCTGTGGAAAGCCAGGTGAGGAAGGAGGGTTCAAGCCCTAGCCTTCTCTTGACATATAATAATACAATCAGGGGCGTACGAAGTGGGGGGAGGAGGGGGCGGGCCGCCCCGGGTGCCACTCGGGGTGTGTGTGACAAGATGGCCCCTGCCTCCCCCACCTGTAGAGCGGCTGAGGGCACGTACAGTCAGTATGGGTGCCACTTGTGCGGTGTTCTTACAGGCTGCTGTGCGTGCGCACTCAGTACGGGATGCCGCACATGCGCAGTCCGTACGGGATACTGCACATGCACACTTCATACAGATGTTGCGCATGCGTCACCGGGTGGTTTGCCTCACCCCTCAGTGTCCCGTCCGGATGCCGGAGAGGGTACTTCCACCACCGAATATAATAATAATCATTTATTATTTATACCCCACCCATCTGGCTGAGTTTCCCCAGCCACTCTGTGGTTCCCCAGCCTAATCGAGTGTTAAACACAATACAGCATTGAATATTAAAAACTTCCCTAAACAGGGCTGCCTTCAGATGTCTTTAAAAAATATGATAGCTGCTTATTTCCTTGACATCTGATGGGAGGGCGTTTCACAGGGCGGGCGCCACTACCGAGAAGGCCCTCTATCTGGTTCCCTGTAACCTCACTTCTCGCAATGAGGCAACCGCCAGAAGGCCCTCGGCGCTGGATCTCAGTGTCCGGGCTGAACGATGGGGGTGGAGACGCTCCTTCTGGTATACAGGACCAAGGCCGTTCAGGGCTTTAAAGGTCAACACCAACACTCAGAAACATACTGGGAGCCAATGCAGATCTCTCAGGACCGGTGTTATGTGGTCCCGGCGGCCACTCCCAGTCACCAGTCCAGCTGCCGCATTCTGGATTAATTGCAGTTTCCAGGTCACCTCCAAAGGTAGCCCCACGTAGAGTGCATTGCAGTAGTCCAAGCGGGAGATAACTAGAGCATGCACCACTCTGGCAAGACAGTCCGCAGGCAGGTAGGGTCTCAGCCTGAGTACCAGATGGAGCTGGTAGACAGCCACCCTGGACATAGAATTAACCTGTGCCTCCACGGACAGCTGTGAGTCCAAAATGACTAGTTTTCTACATGCAGGGTATGTGTTTCAAGGAGGGAGAATTCCAAGATGTAATTTCCCACTGCCATTCTAACTGTACATTTAAAGCACATGACTTTCCCCAAGGCATCCTGGGAACTCTACTTTATTAAGGGTGCTAGGAATGGTAGCTGTGTGAGGGGCAGCAAACTACATTTCACAGGATTCTTGGGAGCAGGGGTGCAATGCACTTTATACGGATGATATTCATGCTGCCTATCAGATACGATTCCAGGAGGGTTCTACCACTTGCTTCCTCTGAATATGGAAACTGCTTTTTTTCCAACCATTTGCATTTGAGAGGACACCCTTGAGAGAAGAAGGAAAGTCTGTTGTGTAGGAGTCAAAAAATAAACAGGAGGAGACTGTTCTAGTACCACTGCCATGTAACCTAACCTACATCTTTTGTACAGTTTCTTCATGCCACTGGAATGTTGTAAAGTAAATGGAGCCATTGTCTAAATAAGAACACTCACAATTTCCTTCCCCCTATACGGGACTTACGATTTAAAACCCAGAGGATTATTTTGGGATTCTACAGCTCTAATTCTTGCAACCAGGATCTAAGTGCTAATGTGTTAATTAGTACCCAAACCCACTTCCCCTTCTCTGTAATTTTATTAATCTAGATTTTCAAGATAGCCTACAAAAGAGAATCAGAAAACAAATACAGTGGTACCTCGGGTTAAGAACTTAATTCGTTCTGGAGGTCCGTTCTTAACCTGAAACTGTTCTTAACCTGAGGTACCACTTTAGCTAATGGGGCCTCCAGCTGCCGCTGCTGCCATATGATTTCTGTTCTCATCCTGAAACAAAGTTCTTAACCTGAGGTACCATTTCTGGGTTAGCGGAGTCTGTAACCTGAAGCGTCTGTAACCTGAAGCATCTGTAACCTGAGGAACCACTGTATAAAACAGATCAAAAACATCAGAAACAAAAGCAATTATCATAGCAACAGTAAAAATACAAAAAGCAGTAGATATAAAATCAGTTAAAATCATGGGCAATCTTTCTTTTTTTTTAAAAAAAGTCTAAAACATGGCTCTCTGGACACCCCAGTCATGTTGCGGCTTATAAATAATAGTAATTATTATTATTTCTGGCACCAGAGGTCCTTCTCTAAATATCCCTGCCTCTCTGTAGGCTTTCTCAAAACCTACCTAAAGTTTCTCCTAATCACATTAGAGTGTGGGGAATAGGGATGCCACAAACTCCTTGGTCAGGCACTGAACTGGATTGAGCAAATTGATTTCCACCACACATACATAGAAAATAGCTCAGTTTATGCTAAGCCCATAGCCAAGCCCAATCAGACCCCATTGTGCCTCTCATGATCTCAGCAGAGAACTCAACAAGGTCTAATCCTTCCCTCAAATGCCGCATAGTGTCCATCCCTCCCTCCTCCCTATCTACCTGCTCCCATTCCACCCAAATCCCTACACCAGTGGTGTCCAAACTTTTTTCCAAAGAGGAAGTGAAGTGAAGGGCCATGGGGGCTGACCAAAGTTGTGGAGCTTTTCTTAGGATTTAAGTTGTTGAGTTTTTCTTAGGTTTGGAGTTGTTGAGCTTCTTTTAGTACAGTGGTACCTCGGGTTAAGTACTTAATTTGTTCCGGTGGTCCGTTCTTAACCTGAAACTGTTCTTAACCTGAATCACCACTTTAGCTAAGGGACCTCCTGCTGCTGCCGTGCCGCCAGAGCATGATTTCTGTTCTCATCCTGAAGCAAAGTTCTTAACCTGAAGCACTATTTCTGGGTTAGCGGAGTCTGTAACCTGAAGCATATGTAACCTGAAGCGTATGTAACCCGAGGTACCACTGTATTTAACTTGTTGAGGTTTTTTTTTAGGATTTTACCCCAGGAAACTGCCATGGGGGCCAGATTAAACCGACCAGCGGGCAGGATTAGGCCCCCAAAATGGAGTTTGGACATGCCTGCCCTACCCCGTCCCTCCACCAGCTTACTTTGCAAGTTTCTCTGGTTACTGCAGATGGAGCAAGGATCAACTCTGTTTCCCACCATTTCTCAGTACAGGAGCACTGGGAAATGTCTTACATAGCAGGGCAGGAGCTGGGAGTGCTAGGAAATATATATAAATGCAGAGGGGTAAGAGGCAGAATGGTCTTCCCCATCCCAGCTCTGTTTTTAAAAATATTGGATGCAAGCTAGGGCTGCCATACGTCCGGAATTTCCCGGACATAGCCGGGATTTGTCTGTTGAAAATAGTGTCTGTTACAGAACAACAAACCCCTGTGTTGCAAACTTAACACAACAAACAACACAAGCAACACAATGACCAGTATACTAGATAGCACTACAATTCTTATTGCATAATATACATAACTTAGAACAACAAAAACAAAAACAAAATGTGTACATTTCTAAATTCTCTAATATATTTGAATGGCCACTAAAAAGTTTTACTGCTTAGCCCACAGGATAGCATCTATTACTTTGTTTCAACTATAGACTTATTATACTTCTACAGACTTTCAAAGATTGACAGACGTGTGTTCATTTGATTTCAAATATATTGAAAGCAGTACTGAAAGTATGTTGGTATGACCAAGTCCAGAGTTCTGTTATAAGAGATAGCTGGGGTTGAAGAGAATTTGAATTGAATTTATTACAGCCTCAGACCAGACTCACATACTGTACTAAACAATGGTTTGCCCATGTATATGCCCTGCAACAAGGCGGACGGCAGTCCGTTGAATCTAGCAAGGGTAAACGACTGTCTATATTTAGGTATTTGTAATTTTGACAAATATGTCGCTTGGGTAAACCCTCTCCCATTATCTTCTACATCCCAGAGTCGTTGGCGAATTGTTACTTTATCCTAAGGTAGAAATCGTGAAACATGTTGGATGGTGTCGTATTCAGAATGTTCTCAAGGGAGGTTAGGGCAGTGTTCTTTTTTAAAGAGTGTGTGTGTGTGTGTGTGTGTGTGTGAGAGAGAGAGAGAGAGAGAGAGAGGGATATCCAACAGGTAGATCGTGGGGTGTCCGTGGTAGATCGCTGGACCCTTCCTTCCCCCACACAAAAAAGCTCAACAACTTAACAACTTTGACTCCCTTAAAAAAGCTCAACAACTTTGGTAGATCACTGCCAGTTTTTTTAATACTGGATCTGAAAGTTGGACATGTCTGGTCTAGGGCATAGGCTTCTGTTCCTGGATTCTCAGACCACTTCCTCCTGCCCCTGATACCTGGCACTGTTTCCCAAATTGTCTGCAAAAGGCCACAACTCTTATAACATACCCCTCAACTGTCTCAATTAAATTGAGACATCCCATTTTGGGGGGCCTATACTGTTGTCTCCCAGTATGTTTCTGAGCACAGTTCAAAGTGTTGGTGCTGACCTTTAAAGCCCTAAACAGCCTCGGCCCAGGATACCTGAAGGAGTGTCTCTACCCCCATCGTTCAGCTTGGACACTGAGGTCCAGCTCTGAGGGCCTTCTGGCGGTTCCCTCACTGTGAGCAGTGAGGTTACAGGAAACCAGGTAGAGGGCCTTCTCAGTAATGGCACCCTCCCATCAGATGTCAAGGAAATAAACAACTATCTGACTTTTACAAGACATCTGAAGGCAGCCCTGTTTAGGGAAGTTTTTAATGTTTGATGTTTTATTGCATTTTAAATATTTTGTTGGAAGCCACCCAGAATGGCTGGCGGAACCCAGCCAGATGGGCAGGATATAAACAATAAATTATTATTGTGTGAGAGTATGGTGTCCAAAAACGTGAGAGATTGCGGCCCCCAAAAGACACATGTGTTTTTGGGTGCTGTGCTCTCATGCAGGTCATGTGACTCACATGGGAGCAGGAGCTGGAAGACAGGTATCCTGGTTTCCTGCTGCAACACACTGAAAGTTATGTTATATCCTTCAATTCCTCCCTCAACACACATCTTTTCTGAATAGCTATCAGCACAACCCCCTAGTCCACATGACCTAATGTAACTAAAACATATCCACACTTACCTTTTGCACATCCACTCCTAATGTAACTAAAATCATATCCACACTTACCTTTTGCACATCCACTCCTAATGTAACTAAAAACATATCCACACTTACCTTTTCCACACCCACTCTTTCCAGGCACAGGTTTGCACCTAAAAGCTGAGTGTCTGAATGTGGGGTTTTCTTGCTCCATAGATTTCCCTATGAATACCCACTCTTTAGTGCTCAATTGGAGCAAGCGTCAATTTGAATTTTCAGTGGGTTGCTGTTTGCTGTGATTGAGCTCGATTTGCTTGACTGAACCTTGCAGACACCTAGCACCAGGCACTGAGGCATGGACGGGGAAGAGAAAGAGATTATTCAGGCAGATAACTTCTCCCATATCTTCCCTCCAGCACGGATACTTTTGAACGGAAGCTGTCAGGAGTAAGTGTGTTGTTCAGGACTTGGAGCAGGTCTGGGTTAGGTTGGATTATGCATGGAGTGATCTGGTCTAAATCAGCGGGTTAGACCTGAACCCTGGTCTGCCAGGTTCTAACCACTGCACCACACTGGCTGGTATATAATAGGTTAATAATAATCTTTTGGTACAGTGGTACCTCGCAAGACGAATGCCTCGCAAGACAAAAAACTCGCTAGACGAAAGGGTTTTTTGTTTTTTGAGCTGCTTCGCAAGACGATTTTCCCTATGGGCTTGCTTCGCAAGACGGAAACGTCTTGCAAGTTTGTTTCCTTTTTCTTAACACCGTTAATACAGTTGCGACTTGACTTCGAGGAGCAACTCATAGAACACAGTGTGGTAGCCTTTTTTGAGGTTTTTAAAGACTTTGGTGATTTTTGAAGCTTTTCCAAAACTTTCCCGACACCGTGCTTCGCAAGACGAAAAAAATCGCAAGACGACAAAACTCACGGAACGAATTAATTTCGTCTTGCGAGGCACCACTGTACAAAGAATTGCCAAAGAACAGGATGCTGCAGTAGATGGGCCTGATCCAGTAGGTTCTTCTTTTGTTTGCACGTTCAAACATTTGCTAAATAGTCCTGCTGGACTGCATTCTCAAGCTTGAGCCCGTTGTTTTCTCAGTGTGAATTACCTTTGGATTTCTATTTACAAAACCACAATCGAAACTGCACCACTCCTCTATGCCCAGAGACTGCTGTTTCCCCGTGTGCTAGAGGACCCGCTATACAGTACTTCTTCCAAAAGAGTCAGTTGGCTGTATTGTGTTGCCTTATTGTGCACCATTCCTCTTCTTACCATGTTTTACAGCAGGGGTCAGAAAACTTTTTCAGCCGGGGGCCGGTCCACTGTCCCTCGGACCTTGTGGGGGGCCAGACTATATTTTGGGGAAAAAATTAAAATAATGAACAATTTTCGCCCACCCGCAAAGAGGCCTGAAGATGCTTCGCTTTACCTGTCCCAGTTGTCATCCCAATAGCCGCAGTTGGGCTTCTCCAGCCAGCCAGGCGCTGTGGTGGGGTAGGAGGCTGCGTTGGCCGGTGAAGACAGAAGCAGCAGCCCCGGCGGAGGAGCAGCAGACGGAGGCAGGGGAACCGGGGCGTCGCCAGAGCTTTTAGCCACCATCTGCTGCTGCAGGAGAAGAAGACAGAGCCGCCCGCCAACCCGCAAGCGGCAGCCATGGCCACCGCAACAACCCACCTGAATGCCATGGGAGGAATGAAGGAGGCAGGCAGGCGGCAATGAAGAAAGCACGTGAGGAAGCAGCGTGGAGAAGGGGCGCAGAGAAGGAAGGAAGGGCAGACTGAGGGAGAGGGAGGAGAAGCAGGAGGAAAAAGCAGCAGCAGCAAGAAGCCAGCGTCCCACACCCTTTTCACAGAGCCGCCCTGCTGACATGGACAGGCGGGTGAGCCGACTCCCACCATCAACAATGCCCAGTGTGGGACAAGATTGTTCCATCCCTGAGGAGAAAAGCGCCACTGTGTGAGGGAGAGGGAAAGAATGCATGCGCTGGCGATCCATGCGGCGATTCCCGGACCATCCGCGGGCCGGATCTAGAAGGCAATTGGGCCTGATCCGGCCCACGGTCCTTGGTTTGCCGACCCATGTTGTACAGGGTGCTCAACAACACAAGGTGATAGTTTTGCATTTGTCCAATCTATGCTTGAGACAGTTGAGCAACCAACAATCGTTATGCTTAACTTGTAGAGGTGAGGATAAGAATCACAAAATATGTCTCATACAGAGACTAGGGCCCTGCGGGACTTGACATCTTTCCGCAGGGCCTGCAAGACAGAGCTGTTCCGCCTGGCCTTTGGTTTGGACTCAGTCTGACCCTTATGTTTCCCTCCCCTTATGGCTTTGATCTATGGGCTACTTTAAAATGAGGCTGCATTTTAAATTGCATTTTAACCTGTATTTTAAATTGTTGTTGTTGTTTTTCTTATTATGTTTTTACTGTAATTTTACTGGTGTTAGCCGCCCCGAGCCCGGCTCTGGCCGGGAAGGGCGGGGTATAAATAAAATTTATTTATTTATTATTATTATTATTATTATTATTATTATTATTATACGCTCCAAGATGTCACTGCGAAAAACCTGCACAAGTCACATGACCCACACAATATTGCACTTTGAGCTCACACCCCAAAATGGGATGTCCCAATTTAATTGGGGCAGTTGAGAAGTACGATATCTCGTTCCTTCTTTTGAAGGGAGGCAGGATTAATTTATCCCGTGTGCGTGTGGACCTCAGGGTAGCTGCTTATCTATTACGCAAATGGTGTTTTTTACATGCTTGCAATAATAGGGATTCTACAACTTCCATAAGAAAAATACCCCGCTGCTTTGAGCTGCAGAGGTTTATTCTGTCTTCGACATTTAACCTGAGCAAAGCAAAGCCTGAATGTAGAATTGGACAGACATCCACATAGGTTCCTGCAACGTGTTCTTGGTCTTCTGACGGCCCGTGACTTTGTAAGATCATTTTCAGAGCAGGGATGATTTCTGAGCAAATGACAAGTGAGCGGAAGGAGTGAGTGGATTGGCATGAGTACCCAAGAGGGCTTTGAGTCTGCGAGGCAGCCGGTTTTTAACTTTCCTCTCTGCTTTGTCCCTTTGACACTTGCAATAAAAATGGAGCATCCTCTTTCCTCCCCCTGCCCTCCCCATCTCTGCTGTTTATTTCCATCTGTCAGTCAGCCAATCAATCACTCCCACTCTGTCCCTTGGAAACATATGCATCAACTTGCATAACCCGGTGGTGTTAAATAATTAAGCTGTAGCACATAGTAAAAGCTAAAAAAAAAGAAAGATGCAAGATGCATCTTACAGCTGGAGGATAAGATCATTTGGCAACATTGGAGGAGATCAAATATCTGGCATGAGCAGAAGGAGGCGCAGGATGAGCTGATATCCATTGCGATGGCTAGAGCCTCTTTGGAATAGTCATTTCTCAATCTTCCTCGATGGCTTCTTCCTATGAAAGGTCAGTATTAAAGAGCTCTCTGGGTACCCCCTCCTGTTTTCTTATGAAAGCACTTCGGATGTGAAGAAATTGTCATTCATTTTTTAGTTTCTTTTTTTAAAAAAGGAATAAAATAACAGCAGGAATCATACTATAGTACAGTGGTACCTTGGGTTAAGTATTTAATTCGTTCCGGAGGTCCGTTCTTAACCTGAAACTGTTCTTAACCTGAAGCACCACTTTACCTAATGGGGCCTCCTGCTGCTGCCGCACCGCCGGAGCACGATTTCTGTTCTCATCCTGAAGCAAAGTTCTTAACCTGAGGTAATATTTCTGGGTTAGCGGAGTCTGTAACCTGAAGCATATGTAACCTGAAGCATATGTAATCCGAGGTACCACTGTAATCTGAATCTAATGGTCCATCCATCTATCGATCCCTATTCAGGTGATGAAAAAAAATGTGTGAATAAAATGTCACACAATGTGTGAATAAATACAGTGGTACCTCGGGTTACAGACACTAGTTATCTCCCACTTGGACTATTGCAATGCGCACTATGTTGGGCTACCTTTGAAGGTGACCCAGAAACTACAATTAATCCAGAAAGCGGCAGCTAGACTGGTGACTGGGAGCGGCCGCCGAGACCATATAACACCTGTCCTGAAAGACCTTCATTGGCTCTCAGTATGTTTCCGAGCACAATTCAAAGTGTTGGTGCTGACCTTTAAAGCCCTAAACAGCCTCGGCCCAGTATACCTGAAGGAGTGTCTCCACCCCCATTGTTCAACCCGGACACTGAGGTCCAGCTCTGAGGGCCTTCTGGCGGTTCCCTCCCTAACTGCGAGAAGTGAGGTTACAGGGAACCAGGCAGAGGGCCTTTTCGGTAATGGCGCCCGCCCTGTGGAAGGCCCTCCCATCAGATGTCAAGGAAATAAACAACTACAGTCATACCTCAGGTTGAAGTCGCTTCAGCTTGAGCATTTCCAGGTTATGCTCTGTGGCGACCCGGAAGCAACGGAACGCGTTACTTCTGGGTTTCGCCACTCGTGCATGCGCAGATGCTCAAAAATGACGTCATGCGCATGCTCAGAAGCGGCGAATCACAACCCGTGCACGCACAGACACAGATTGCGTTCGCTTCAGGATGTGAACAAGGCTCCAGAACGGATCCCGTTCACATCCAGAGGTACCACTGTATCTGACTTTTAGAAGACATCTGATGGCAGCCCTGTTTAGGGAAGTTTTTAATGTTTGGTGTTTTATTGTGTTTTTAATATCCTGTTGGAAGCCGCCCAGAGTGGCTGGGGATAGATGGACAGGGTATAAGTATTATTATTATTATTATTACTACTGACTTATTATAATTATTTCCTACTCATCTGCGAAGCACTGAGGGAGATTTAAAGAATGTTCACCTGAGAGCGCTAAGAATCCTTCCCGTGTGTGGGAACTGTGCTCAGGATACCTGACTGCAGAGAGGACTCTAAGAATTTGTGCAAAGAATTTCCCTTCAGACCGTCTGCCTTAATGCGCAAAGATTGGGGGTGGAGTCTGCAGGGATGAACACCTGAAAGGGCGTCTACTCCTCCATCCATGTACTTGTTTTTTTGTATGTATAGCCCACCTTTAGCTATTACTTATTTATTGCATTTATATCTTACCTTTTTCTCCAAGGAACACAAGGTGTACACATGGTTCTTCCCCCTTCCTCATGGAATCCCTACAACAACCCTATGAGGTAGGTTAGGCTGAGAGGCAATGACTGGCCCAAGGTCACCCACTGAGCTTCATGGTCAAGCGGAAGGTTCACCATGTCCCGTTTCACTGCTTTGTCGCTGCTGCTGCCTGTGCCACCCGCACCCCACCGTCTCCGTCTCTGGTGGAGAAGTGGTGCCAGGCAAGATCAAGCTTAAATCTCATGTGCTCTGCAGTTGTTATTGTTTAGTCATTTAGTCGTGTCCGACTCTTCGTGAGCCCATGGACCAGAGCACGTCAGGCACTCCTGTCTTCCACTGCCTCCCGCAGCTTGGTCAAACTCATGTTGGTAGCTTCGAGAACACTGTCCAACCATCTCGTCCTCTGTCGTCCCCTTCTCCTTGTGCCCTCCATCTTTCCCAACATCAGGGTCTTTTCTAGGGAGTCTTCTCTTCTCATGAGGCGGCCAAAGTATTGGAGCCTCAGCTTCAGGATCTGTCCTTCCAGTGAGCACTCAGGGCTGATTTCCTTCAGAATGGATAAGTTTGATCTTCTTGCAGTCCATGGGACTCTCAAGAGTCTCCTCCAGCACCATAATTCAAAAGCATCAATTCTTCGGCGATCAGCCTTCTTTATGGTCCAGCTCTCACTTCCATACATCACTACTGAGAAAACCATAGCTTTAACTATATGGACCTTTGTCGGCAAGGTGATGTCTCTGCTTTTTAAGCAGATCATGGATCACTGCCTTGTTGTGGCGAAAGGGCTTGAATAACTCAGAGAAGCTATGAGCTATGCCATGCAGGGCCACCCAAGACGGACAGGTCATAGTGGAGAATTTTGACCAAATGTGATCCACCTGGAGCAGGAACTGGCAAGCCACTCCAGTATCCCTGCCAAGAAAACTCCATGGACAAAGACAACAGGCATATAAAAGTGCTCTGCAGTATCTTGCGCAATTTCGGCAAGATCTTGCTGGAATCGGCACGGATGCCAGCACCCCTTCCCCACCAGCGGAAATTTGAACCCTGGTGTCCCAGCTCCTAGTCAGACACTCTCACCACTACACTTTAGTGGCTCTCTTTTCCGAGGGAGAAAATGGAACGGCAGGTAACAGAAGTGTAGAATACAGACTGGTCAAAGGAACAGCAGCAACCTCAGAAAGTGCTTCTCTGCTTCTTCTTCTGCAGCTTTCTTCAGCTGCTGGTGGAGTCTGGAAGGCGGAAGGCGAGGGAGGGCCCAGTGGCAGCTGGTCGAATGGACTAATAAGGGCATAATGCATTTTGTGTGCCAGCCCAGCACTGGGAACTGAAATTGATATGTAGAACAATAAAGGGCTATAACAACCTGTCAGGGACCTGTTTCCACAGCTCCACACTTAATAACTGAAATAAAACAATATTATTAGGTACTTGGTTACATTAAGCATCTTGATACAATGCTTATTTTTTCTTCACTGATGTGGTGACTGGCTGGGTTGCCATACCTTGGTCAGGTTAAAAAAGGCCAACCCAGGTGGTCAGGTATGAGATGATCTACATAACACCGGATAGTCTTGAGCAAACTGATTTTGGAAAAGCAGGAGGTAGGAGAAGGGTGGATCTTGTTGTTAGTTATTCCGCAGATGCTCTTATGTTCTCATGATTTTATCTTGACAACAGCCCTGCAAGGTTGGCCAGTATTACTATTTCCCTATCACAGTTAGGAAGTGAAAGCTTTAGTGCAGGCGTTGGGAACCTCTGGCCTTCCAGATGTTACTGATCTACAATTTCCACCATCCCTGGCCCATTGGATCAACATCTGTAAGGCTAAGGGTTCTCTACACCCCGTGTAAGTACTAGTGGCTTGCCCAAAGCCTTTGTTCTCTAGAGGACTTTTTAGCTGCCTTCCTCCCTGGACCCCATTTTTCAGACTTAAGGGCATGGCATGCATTATCATTCACAGCCTTAGTTTACATGTAGCTTAACATAGGTCAATTTATTTTGAAATCACTTTTTTATGGCTCTATTGAACTATTTGCCACATTATTTATACGTTAATGCGATGGATCCCTCCGGATATCCCACCGTCTAATAAATAATGTGACAAATCATTAAGCAAGGTGATAAAAATCAAGCCATTTAAAAATACATCAACCTGTGTTGCCTTCATGTAAAATGAGCTCCAGGGGCCTATCACAAAGATGTACACATTCAGAACTTGGCGAAACTTGGCTCATTGAGTAAAATAGACCAGAGAAGCGGATGGCATGAGCTATGGGAAGGTTTTTTTTGGTTAAAGAAACACGATCGCATAAGGGCCGAATCCCATGGTTGACTCCCAATGCCCTGAGGTTGGAGAACATGGTTTCCTAGTGCTGGCAAAGGGTTTGTAGTGTGGTGGTGTTATATACTGTGGGGCAAGAAACACACAGGCAGATCTCATGTCATCTAGCCCATCTGGAGATTCTTGCAGGCACTCTTATGCAATTAATGAAGGTTCTTCCATCTTTATTTTTGTTGCTGCAGCTGCGGCATTCTGCCCTTGCTCCCAATATTAAGAAAGCTGTTTGTCCAGAGATGGAAGGGAAGGGGAAGCTGATATCTTCACCAGAGGGTGGGAAAGGTAAAGGTAAAGGACCCCTGGACAGTTAAGTCCAGTCAAAGGTGACTATGGAGTTGTGCCGCTCATCTTGCTTTCAGGCAGAGGGAGGCGCTGTTTGTCCACAGGCGGCTTTCCGGGTCATGTGACCAGCAGGACTAAACCGCTTCTGGTGTGACGGGAACCAGAGCACATGGAAATGCTGTTTACCTTCCCGCCACAGTGGTACCTCTTTATCTACTTGCACTGGTGTGCTTTCAAACTGCTAGGTTGGCAGGAGCTGGGACAGAGCATCGGGAGCTCACCCCGTTGTGGGGATTCAAACTGCTGACCTTCCAATTGGCAAGCCCAGGAGGCTCAGTGGTTTAGACCGCAGCGCCACCTGCACTCGGGATGCAACAGTGCTCTCTCTGCTTGCGATTTCCGGCAACTGACATTCAGAGGCATGCTGCTTGCAACAGTGCAAGTACGGTAGAACCTAGCCGCTGTCCATTTCTTATTTTCCAAATTTTTCACTCTCTATGTTTCCATGTCACTTGGCAATCTTTTTAAAAAGTCCTTCTGAAAATTCACCAGCGTTTTACTGCAAATTTCTCCTAAATTACATGTTTGTAAAGGCATGTTTGGAGACTCAGGCCTGGATAAGTAGTAGAAGGAGATGCACTGAACAATTCATCCCAACAAAGGGATCAAAACATATTGGAAACCATTTCTGAATTACAGTTGTTCCTTGTGCTCTTGAAATGTCCCTGTTATCAGTTTGGCTTTCCTCCGCTGCGTGAAATGTTCGTTGAAAAGGAACTAGTTTGAGTTCATCCCTTACCAAAACAAACTATGAGTTCACGTTCATGCAAATGAACATTTAAGTTCATAAAAAGTTGATCCTTTCAATAAAAAATGAAAAACCAGTATTCGGAATGGTACAATCTGCTATGTCAAAGTATAGGGCTTAAAAGTAAACAAGGGGCCACACACAAGTAATAAGATGTCTGACAGACAGACTGTTAACAAGTGAAACTTTCCCCATAGTTGTGTTTCCATACTATAAAAGGCTTCACCTGTTCAAATTGTGCCAGCCAAGCACCATCCTAAAGCCCTTTGGCTGTTGTTGGACTACAGCTCCCATAATCCCTGACCATTGGCCAGTCTGGTTGGGGGTGATGGGAGTTGGAGTCCAATTCCTTGAGGCCAACAGGTCCCCTGCTCCTGCTCCTGGTTTTTAAATAAGCTCTGTAAACTCTTCGTTCCAAACTACTTTCAAGTTGTATTTACGCTGGTGATTTACTGCTGCTGGGTTTAAAAATAAATAAATCTGCTTCTTGTTTTACATGTATGTTGTTTTATGGTGCTACTGTGTTATGTGCTATTGCTTTAATTCCTTTTCAGCATACGAATGTGTTTTAGATTATGTTTTTCTAATTTTACGGCCTGTTATTTGAATGGTTTTAATATTGTGTGCTGCTTTGGCAAAGGCGACCTGAATTTTTTGAAAATAAATCAAATACTAGAAAATAACATAGCTGTCAACGTTTCCCCTTTTTTAAGGGAAACTCCCTTATTCTGAATAGGATTCCTCACAAGAAAAGGGAAAAGTTGACAGCTATGGTAAATAACTCTGACATCTAAGGACATAACTAAAGATGTTACCAACAAACATGGAGCCACCGCTGCTCCCAGATTTGTTCTCTCAGGTAAAGTGTGGTTCAGGGGTCAGCAACCTTTTTCAGCTGATGGCCAGTCCACTGTCCCTCAGACCATGTGGTGGGCCAGAATATATTTTGGGGGGGGAAATGAAAGAATTCCTATGCCCCACAAATAAGCCAGAAATGCATTTTAAATAAAAGGACACATTCTACTCATGTAAAAACATGCTGATTCCTGGACCGTCTGTGGGCCGGATTGAGAAGGCGATTGGGCTGCATCTGGCCCCAGGGCCTTAGGTTGCCTACCCCTGGTGTGGTTCTGTATAAGGCAACATTTGATGTGACATAATCACTATGTGTGTTCTCCATCCCTTGCCTCACATAATTGGGTGCTGGCACCAACCCACCTAGGTAATGCTTTGGTTAGGAACTTTACCTCTTAGTCTGGCCCTCAGGACTCTCCCCAGACCACATCCACTCCTGAGCCACACCCCTTCTCCTCTAGCCACACCCCCCACCAACCCTGATTTGCACTCTTGCCATGTGTTTTTGCTTATCTGGATTGTGTCCTGGACATAGCTGTCAACCTTCCCTTATTCCAGCACCATTTCCTGCTGCTTCTTGCTGCTATCCCGGATTGTTAAATATCCCGTAGACTGTCCCTGGGACAGGTGAGGCTGCTGATCTCTTATTTTCAAATCTGAAAGTTGACAGCTATGGTCCTGGAGCTCTGATCATGCCTCTTCCTCATCTAGATGGAGGATGGAGAAGGGTGTGTGAGTGTGGGTAGAAACTAGCCTACCATATTTCTATTTCTGTTATTTCAATTTATATACCACCCTTTATCAAAAGATCCCAAGGCAGTGTACAACATTAAAAACACATTACAGAACATCATTGATAAAAACACAGTGAAAACTTAATAAAAAGCTGACTGACTGACAGCCTAATAATTAAATACAGTGGTACCTCGGGTTACATATGCTACAGTTACATACACTTCAGGTTACAGACCCCACTAACCCAGAAATATTACCTCGGGTTAAGAACTTTGCTTCAGGATGAGAACAGAAATCGTGCTCCGGCAGCGTGTTGGCAGCAGGAGGCCCCATTAGCTAAAGTGGTGCTTCAGGTTAAGAACAGTTTCAGGTTAAGAACAGACCTCCAGAACGAATTAAGTTCTTAACCCAAGGTACCACTATACAGTGATACCTCGGTTTTTGAATGACTCGGAAGTCAAATGTTTCGGTTTTCAAATGCCAAAAACCCTGAAGTAACCGCTTCGGTTTTCGAACACTTTTCAGAAGTTGAAAGTGCCATACGGCTTTTGTATTGAGTTTTCCATAGTAAATGCTTCTGGAAGTAAATGCTTCGGTTTTCAAACATTTTGGAAGGGTCTTCCGGAACGCATTACGTTTGAAAACCGAAGTACCGCTGTAGTCATCATAATAGTTGTCCTCTCCCCCACACTTTCACAGGTCGTAGATTATTTAAACAGCCATAGGGTAAAGACGAATGTTTTTGCCTGGTGCCTAAAGATATGTAGTGATAGCACCAGATGAGCCTCTCTGGGGAGAACATTCCACAATCAGGGAGCCACCACAGAAAAGGCCATTTCTCTTGTTGCCACCCTCCGAACCTCTCTGGGATGGGGGGACATAGAAAAAGCCCTCAGATAACAAGTGCAGAGTCTGGGTTAGTTCATATGGGGAGAGGCAATCCTTGAGGTATTGTGGTCCTGAGCCATGTAAGGCTTCATAGGTCAACACCAGCACTTTGAATTGGGCCTGGAAACTAATTGGCAGTCAGTGCAGTTGTGCCAGGATTGGTGCTACATGATCAAATTTATGTTCATGGCTCCATCCTATTTTCCTTCTGGCTTTACTCACCACTGCCCAGTGGCCCCCAGAACATTGCTCAGAATGGAATGTGGCCCTCAGATGAAAGAAGTTCCCTACCTCTAAGTTTGATGAAGAGACAGTTATTAACCTAAACAAGGGTAGAGAGTGTAGGGTATGAAACACAGAGCAGTCAAATACAACATTCCTGGAATGGACATGTTTAGACAAGAAGAGGGATGTTTGTCCAGCCAGTAGATAAACTTTCTGTTTCCTCCTGTGCTGGGACAAACTTCCTCTACATGTGACCAGAGGTGGGCGTGACCTCACCTGTGCAGGTAACAAAAGCACAGGACTGGTCACCACATCTCTCTCTTCTCCATTTTGCTTTCGTAGAAGAAGCATCAGCCCGCAATGCTTCCAGCCAAGAGAGGACAAAGGAACTATCTCCTTATGGGATAGATTACAGGTGTATATATTTTGTAACTTAAGTCTGCCTTCTGGGATCCATCTGTGAACAGAATGAGTGAGTAAACTATTTTATACTTTTATACAAGACTGTGTTGCGTCTATTCTTTTTAGGAGGGAATGAAAGGGGAATTACCAGGAAACTTACTTTAGAGGCTTAAACAAGCCTGGCAAACCTATCTGCTGTGTAAGTTTAAAAAGGAGAATGTTACTCTGCTAAATTACAGAACTTGCTAACGCAGTTGGAAAGGATATAATTAAACAATATATTCTCTCCTGCCTCCCTAAACATTCCCACAGAGAGCACCTCATTTTAGTACCCACCAAAATTCAAAGGTTTCCCACCTGAAAGGCCAAAGACAAAAGCAGTTTCATCCCAAATCTCCCCATCATTCGAGCTAAACTTCCCTTGGGTAAAGGTAAAGGTAAAGGGACCCCTGATTTTTAGGTCCAGTCGTGACAGACTCTGGGGTTGTGGTGCTCATCTTGCTTTATTGGCCGAGGGAGCCGGCGTACAGCTTCCAGGTCATGTGGCCAGCATGACTAAATCGCTTCTGACGAACCAGAGCAACGCACAGAAACGCTGTTTACCTTCCCACCAGAGCGGTACCTATTTATCTACTTGCACTTTGATGTGCTTTCGAACTGCTAGGTTGGCAGGAGCAGGGACCGAGCAACGGGAGCTCACCCCATTGCGGGGATTTGAACCACCGACCTTCTGATCGGCAAGTCCTAGGCTCTGTGGTTTAACCCACAGTGCCACCCGTGTCCCTTTTCCCTTGAGTAGGAAAGTTTTAACCCAACCGTGAAATTCCACACATGCATGGAGGAATGTGGGCTGGCCTCACACTTGCAATGATCTTCCACCTCCCTCCATTTTCAGTTTTCATTAAAAGAAAAGCAAGGCATGGCCCTCTTACTTAAAGTATGATAAGACAGAAGATGGATGGTGGGTGGGATGGAATCATGCAAGTTGTTTTTGATCCAGCTGTTTGATAAGAAATAAACCTGCTCCTGGCTTCCAAGATCCAGACTGTATTGGTAATTTAATTAAACTTCATTACAGTTATGTAATAAATGAAACAATTTTAAGCATCCCTGGCTACTCACATTTAGGTTTCCCACTGACTTACAACACTCCTTACCTCCCAGAAGTTTTTTATACCTCCTTCTCTGTGTACTAACCTACCTTGAAACATCAAGATCAGGCTGAACGGTCAGGCTTAATTAATTGGTTACATTCAGCAAATTGGCAGCAAGCATGTTAAATTATACAAATTGCAGGAGGCCAGTATTTTTTGTCATTTAATCTAATGAAATAATTTTTTTGATTTATTAGATGCAAATGCCAATCATGGCAAACCGCAAATGGGAACCATTTATTTAAGACCATGAGATGGAGTCAGTTCTCTGACTTCATGGCTACAGAGTGGGACAGGCAAGGAGGAGGAGCAAGAGGTAGAGGCTGTGGCCAAAAAAAGGAGGGCGTACATTGCCGAAAAAAGAGGTCAATTTGCATGTGGTGATTTATATGGAAGGACACACATTTTAAAATAAGTATAATAATTTTAAAATAAATGCAAAGCATAGTGAAGAAAACACCAAGCGACCAGTAAAACAGGTTTGAAGTCCATATTGTGATATTGGTTTCATAGATTTTGACCTGGCAATACAGTGGTACCTCGGGTTAAGTACTTAATTCGTTCCGGAGGTCCGTTCTTAACCTGAAACTGTTCTTAACCTGAAGCACCACTTTAGCTAATGGGGCCTCCTGCTGCTGCCGCGCTGCCAGAGCACGATTTCTGTTCTCACCCTGAAGCAAAGTTCTTAACCCAAGGTACTATTTCTGGGTTTGCGGAGTCTGTAACCTGAAGCGTATGTAACCTGAAGTGTATGTAACCCGAGGTACCACTGTATATCACAAATCATGAGGTGTGTGAGTGCTGGGCGATATATCACCCAAAACCAGTTTCAAGTCCATATCATGATATTAATTTAATAATTTTTGACCTGGAAATATATTGCGAATCAATCTGTCTCTGTTTCCTTCTCTCTCTCTCTCTCTCTGATTGTGTGTGTGCTATGCAAAAATCACAATGAAGCCAGCCAATCCATAGCTCCATCTGCATAGCTCCATCCTTATTTCAGACATGGTGATATATCAGTATATCAGGATGTTTAGCTGGTGATATGTCATGAACAGTGCCGGTTTTACGTATAAGCTAAACAAGCTATAGCTTATGACCCCACTCTCCTGGGAGCTCCCAAAAAATTTAAAGGAAAAAAACAACACTGGATGTACATTTCAAAAAACCCTAAAACAAATAAAATAAAACATGCATGCAGAAAGAGTGTTTTGTGTTGTGTAGGCTCCTATGATGTAAGTAATGGGCCCCGCCTGCTAGCCTGCTCCCTAAAATGTCACAAATAAAGTGCCCCATTACCTTCAGTAGCTTAGGCCCTCATCAAACCTAAATCCGGCTCTGATCATGAAGTTGAAAACCAGATATCGCCCAGCCCTAGTGACCAGTTCTGCCTGCACCTTCTGCTCACCAGGTACTACTCACTGTTGGTGGGATCCCGATCTCCTTTTTTAAATGGTTCTTTCTCTCTAAAGCAGACTCGGACTGGATAAATAGCTCTCCAACAGAGGACACCTTCAGAGAACTGTTCTCTGATAGTCCATCAAAACAGGAGGCTGTGCTTTTCAAAGCAGGAGACCTGGCTATCCTAGCAACAGGACTCACCATGAATCATAAAGAAGTGGTGGGATATGTCACCATGTTATGTCACAATGTTACTGAAGGGGAGGCTATGAAGGCAAGCGGCCCCAGCCACTTACTTGAGCAGAAAGGTGAGGAGCTTGCATCATTTAAAAGCAAACGCTGGCATTTTTAAGGGTGTGATGAAGGGAACTATCCTAAACTTTGTGGTAAGATAGGAAGGCCTACACAATGTGACTTTGGTGTCTGATTGAGAGAAGCTGATATGGTGGTGGCGGCAGAGAGAGAGACATACAGGCTTTTTGGGGGGGTCTCATAGTGCCGAGGGCCTTCTGGTGGTTCCCTCGCGGCGAGAAGCCAAGTTACAGGGAACCAGGAAGAGGGCCTTCTCGGTGGTGGCACCTGCCCTGTGGAATGCCCTTCCACCAGATGTCAAAGAGAAAAACAACTACCAGACTTTTAGAAGACACCTGAAGGCAGCCCTGTTTAGGGAAGCTTTTAATGTTTAATAGGTTATTGTATTTTAGTGTTTTATTGGAAGCCACCCAGAGTGGCTGGGGAAACCCGGCCAGATGGGCGGGGTATAAATAATATATTATTATTATTATTATTATTATTATTATTATTATTATTAAAGAAGCTGGACACAACATCTGGAATAGCTCAACTGGTAAACCATGAGACTCTCAAGCTCAGAATTGTGGGTTCGAGCCCCACATTGGGCAAAAGATTTCCGCATTGCAGGGGGTTGGACTAGATGACCCAGCGTGGGGCTCGAACTCACGACCTTGAGATTTAAAGTCTCATGCTCTACCAACTGATACCACCTTGTACCACTTTCACACTGTTATAAACTTTGTTTTGTTTTGTTATGGTCTGATGAGTAGGTACGAATAAATGAATCTGAATCATCTATATGGATATTGTGGGATGTGAAACACAAGAGCAGTCAAGTACAACATTCCTAGAGTGAACATGTTTACACATGGGGAGGAATGTTTGTCCAGCCAGCAGGTAAACTTCCTGTTTCCTTCTGGGCTGGGACAGACTTCCTCTGCATGTGACTAGAGGTGGGTGTGGCCTCACCTGTGCAGGTAATGACAAAAGCATAGGGCGGGGCAACCATCTCTCTCTCTCTTTTGACTATATGCATTGAAGAAGCAACATCTGCTTAGCCAAAGATGCTCTCTTGGCTTCCAGCCAAGTGAGGACAAAGGGACTGTTTTCTTATGAGATAGTTTCTAGGTATATGTTACTTTTCTAAGCTAAGTCTGCCTTCTGGGATCCTATTGTGAACAGAATGATGTGTGAGTAAACCTTTTTACACTTTTATAGAAGAATGTGTCGTGTCTTATCTTTTATGAGGAAATAAGGGGGAAATACCAGAACAGTTATTATAGAGGCTTTAGCGCGCCTGAGCAAACACATCCGCTGCAAGTTTAAAAAGGGGGATGTTACTCTGCTAAATTGTGAACTTGTTAACACAAGTTGGAAAGGCTATAATCGAACAATATATCCTCTCCTGTATCCCTGAACATTCCCACAGATATAACATAGGCTGGGATCAATTTCATATGTGCCACTTTAAAAGCTTTCAAGCCTTTCTCCCTCTATTGGTGTGCATGTGTGAAAGACAGATACGCCATTTTAAATAGCCTTCTATACCAGTGATTGATGGTGATGCAGGAAAGTGAATTTACAACTGCATTTCAACTTCCCTGCACTTTTGGTACTGCCTGCGAACAGATGTTTTCTATCTGAAGCACATTTTTTAGTCCTCCACCCAGCATTCCCCCACCTCCTCCAGAAATGTACACACTCAAGAATGGTTTCCCCCACCCCCTTCACATTTTGACCTCCTCTCTCCGTACAGAAGTGTCTCTCCTTTGGTTACAGTGAGCAAACAAGACTTGGTTCCCTTACAAAATCCTCCTAGCTTTCCATGACAGTGTTCATGCCCTTAGTTGCACCCTTAGTTGCACTCACTTCAATTTTCGGAGCTTAACTGAGGAGCCGAACTTTTGAAAAAGAGATGGGAAAGCTGTGCCCTTCCCTGTGTTGTTGGACTCCAACTCCCATCAGTCTCAGCCGGCATGGCCAAGAGTCAGGGATGATGGGAGTTGTAGTCCAGCAACATTTGGAAGGCCACAGGCCCCCCTTCCTGGTTTCGAAACATTTACAGGGGAGATTTGCAGATCCTCCAAGTGTCCCTATTTTCCAGGGACATCGCTGATTTAGAGAAGCCGTCCTGGTTTCTGATTTGATCCTGGAATATCCCGCTGTTCCATAGGGTGTCCCTATTTTCATTGGAGAAATGCTGGAGGGTATGGTAAAGGTAAAGGGACCCTTGACCGTTAGGTCCAGTCGCGGACGACTCTGGGGTTGCGGCGCTCATCTCGCTTTATTGGCCGAGGGAGCCGGCATACAGCTTCTGGGTCATGTGGCCAGCATGACTAAGCCGCTTCTGGCGAACCAGAGCAGCGCACGGAAACGCCGTTTACCTTCCCACTGGAGTGGTACCTATTTATCTACTTGCACTTTGACGTGCTTTTGAACTGCTAGGTTGGCAGGAGCAGGGACCGAGCAACGGGAGCTCACCCCGTCGTGGGGATTTGAACCGCCGACCTTCTGATCGGCAAGCCCTAGGCTCTGTGGTTTAACCCACAGCACCACCCGCGTCCCTTGGAGGGTATGGTAGGATGCCCCTATTTTCACTGGAAGGTATGGAGTTATCTGACCCCCCATGCCGCCTGAAAGCAACCCTGTACAGTGGTACCTTGGGACTCGAACGGCTTGGCTCCCGAAAAAATTGGCTCCTGAACGCTGCAAACCCAGAAGTAAGTGTTCTCGTTTGCAAATGTTTTTCAGAAGCCAAACATCTGACACTGCTTCCGCTTGAGTGCAGGAAGCTCCTGCAGCCAATTGGAAGCTGCACCTTGGTTTTCAAACTGTTCGGGAATCGAATGAACTCCTGGAACAGATTAAGTTTGAGAACCAAGGTACCACTGTATAGGGAAGGGTTTTAAAAAAATGCTTTATCATGTTTTTCTATATTTCGGAAGCTGCCTAGAGAGGCTGGGGCAACCCAGAAAGAGATGTGGGGTATAAATAGTAAAATTATCATTATGGAATGGGATGTCCCTATTTTCATTGGAGAAATGTTGGAGGGTATGGATTTGATAGGTGGGAGAAGGGTTAAGCACCCCTGCAAACTTGTCAGTTTTCGTCTGCAAATGCTGCTTCCTGAATTATAAACAAAACATTACATTGAGGACCCTGCATTTCCCTTGTAACATCATTGTACATCTCCTCCTTGAATATATTTTACAATTATAAGTTTCCCCTATAAAACCTGTTTAGTTGATTGACCATGTTAAATTAGCAAGATTTCTCTAGAAGTCACAGTGGTACCTTGGGTTAAGTACTTAATTCATTCCGGAGGTCCATTCTTAACCTGAAATTGTTCTTAACCTGAAGCACCACTTTAGCTAATGTGGCCTCCTGCTGCCGCCACACGATTTCTGTTCTCATCCTGAAGCAAAGTTCTTAACCCGAGGTACTATTTTGGGTTAGCGGAGTCTGTAACCTGAAGTGTATGTAACCAGAAGCATATGTAACCTGAGGTACCACTGTATTTGATTTTTCCCTTAGCATCAGTGAAAGGAGAGGCTAATGACCAAGATTAGGCCACACAAAAAAGTATTTTGGGGGGTGGTTGCTTTTCTATATCTTGCAGATGTAGAGGAATAATTGCATGCAATCTAAAATGGGGTGTGGGGTAACTGCCCCTTATGCCCTCCCCAAGTAGTACCCCTCATTTACAGCCCCATTTTCCCTGTGCTAGGATTCCACATTCTTCAAGATGTTTCAGGAAGTATCTTACAGATAGAAGGGTTGCGTGTGTGTCCTTTTAAACTGGTGGGTGGGTAAGGAATCATTCCACAATAACATTTGCTATTCTGAAACATTTCCACTGATTCCCCATGCTGACTGTTGGTGAAGGTATTTGCATGTGTTGGCAAAGTTAGCGGAGTCTTAATTCCATGCATGTTTCTAACATTAAAACTGTATTTATCTTGGAAAGATGCAAATGTTCTGTGTACTCAGTAAACATAAGTGACCTCCTCAGTATGGAAAAGGACTTGCAGTTCAGCAAACGTGTCAGAATAAAACAGCAACCCCTTAATGATTTATTTGGGCTTCCCAAAAATTTCAAATAATGCAGGTATTTTCCTGGATGCCTTAGGAACTCCCCCATTATGCTTCTATATTTCTAAATCAATGGATAGCCAGTAAAATTCTATATGTATCTACTCAGAAGTAACCCCTATTTTAATATTGCGTCTACTTCTTGTTTTATAAGCCACCCAGCAAATGTGTGCAGCCAAATGAACTCAGTAAAAAATAAGCTTAACTAAATAAACGGAGTCCAATGGGAATTTCTCCCAGGAATGTTTGTATAGGACGGCTCCCATACTATCCCTTTATTTAGAACTATGGAAGCTGAGAATGGGGGAACAGATAAGGTACACACACATATCAAGGCCATTTCTCTCTGTGCACAAGAAATATACAGTGGTACCTCGGGTTACATACGCTTCAGGTTACACACTCCGCTAACCCAGAAATAGTGCTTCAGGTTAAGAACTTTGCTTCAGGATAAGAACAGAAATCGGGCTCCGGCAGCGCGGCAGCAGCAGGAGGCCCCATTAGCTAAAGTGGTGCTTCAGGTTAAGAACAGTTTCAGGCATAGCTGTCAACTTACAGATATGAAAATAAGGGATCAGCAGCCAAAATAAGGGATTTTAGTCAACCAGCAGCCAAACAAAGCCTCAAGTGGTGGTTCCCATAGCGCAGCAACCCGGCAAAGGGGATGCAGCAAGGAAAACCACCGTCACCTCTCTGCTGGGAAGCGCTGAGCAAAGGTGAGTCCCCAGGCAACGTGGCCAATTTGATTGGCACATGGTATGCAAGCTCCACCCCCCAGTCGTTCTTAGTCTCCTTATTGGGTGAGCAATGCAGCCAAGCAGCACACAGTTGGAGCCTCCCTCCTCCCTGGCCGGCAGGGAGGGAGGGAGAGGAGCTGCTTCCTTTGAAACCCGGGAAATTTAAGGGACATCATCAATAAGGGACAGCAGCGGGACACAGCGCTGGGATAAGGGACTGTCCCGCCAATTAAGGGACGCTTGACACCTATGGTTTCAGGTTAAGTACAGACCTCCGGAACAAATTAAGTACTTAACCTGAGGTACCACTGTATCCTGTAAGATAGCTGCCCGTGGAATATCCTCGAATCTGTGAGCGCTTGGAAGACCTGCTTATGGTGGGAAAAGCAGCAGTTCAGCTCTCAGATAACTCCTTCATGTGAAATCCAGAGCAAGTTAACTGAGACTTTGCTTTCCCCCACCCTGAAAAAGGACCATTGGCAGATTTCCCACCAAATACCCCCCACCACTTCCCATTTTATTTACTTATTTTGTGGTCGCTCCTGTATTGCATGCTTCCTTCCAGTAACTCCGGCAGCCAAGCTGGTGCCACACGTATTGCTCTGCTTTCCTTTGGATCGCATCAGTGGGGCCGAGAGGAGGGAATCTTGTCATCTGGGCAGCCCAGGGCCTCCCTACGCACTGCTCAGGCTTGCGTCCCCGAGAGGTCACTGTGGTGCTGCCAAAGCAGCAAAAGCAACTCAGGAGGCAGCAGTTACGAGTTAGCAGTCTCTGCAGCCACAGCAGGTGCTGTGAATTGGTTTGACTTCATCACCCCTGAAGTCACACTCCATTGTCTCTCGAGACAGGTGGATGCCAACAATAGGTAGCTACTGCCAGTGTAGTGTAGTGGTTAAGAGCTGTAGTCTCGTAATCTGGTGAACTGGGTTCACTTCCCCGCTCCTCCACATGCAGCTGCTGGGTGACCTTGGGCCAGTCACACTTCTCTGAAGTCTCTCAGCCTCACTCACCTCACAGAGTGTTTGTTGTGGGGGAGGAAGGGAAAGGAGATTGTTAGCCGCTTTGAGACTCCTTAGGGTAGTGATAAAGCGGGATATCAAATCCAAACTCTTCTCCCCTATGGTGTTCCAGAATAATGCTATTTACAGTGGTACCTCGGTTTTTGAACGCCTCCGTAGCAGAACGTTTCGGAACTCAAACGCCGCTTCCGTTTCGAGTTTCCCGTATTGAGGCTTCGGTTTTGAGGCTTCTGTTTTCAGTTTCCGAATGTTTCAGAACTCGAAAGGACTTCTGGAATGGATTACGTTCGAAAACCGAGGTACCACTGTACTACCACCCTTTTGCTCTTCCTCTTTCTCTCCCCACTCCCCTAATTGTTCTCTGCTGCACCGTTGGCACTCTTATTTTCCATAAACTGCTTTGTTACAATCAAGCAGTACATAAATCTTGTGAAATAACTACGTTGTGCAACAAATATTTCAAGCTCCTTGGGGCAAGGATCTGCCTTTTTGCACTGATGGTGTAACAAGGTCACCGTTTTTCTGAACCTTAATCCGTAGATGTTCACTCCTTGTGTTCTAGGCTTACAGACACTGAATGAGTGTTTGGAGAGAAAACGTAAGGAAACCACTGTAGCAGTTTCTGGGCTGTGCCCCTTAACCTACATTGTAGGGTAATTGTGAGGCCCTGAAATGTCCTCACACGGAAGGCTGTGCAAAAGGTGAACGTGCCAACTGGGCTGATTTCCTGAGCAAAAAAAAGATCTTCTCTCTTCCATTACATTTACGAGGCCGTAGGGAAACACCCGTCAATGCACACATTATATTTCATTATGCAAATATAAAAATCTTCCGGGTTTGTTGCCTGTGGATGTTGGCAGGTATGAAGGGGATTTAAAGAAATGAGGAAGTGGTTCTCACCAATGAAGTATATTCTGGATTGCTTGCCACCCCTCACCCTGCACTGTATTTTAAAAAACGAACCGTAAACCCACTCAGGGTTTCGAAACAGCTGCAAGAATTTGCAAGGCGTAGGCTTGTTTTGCCTCCCTGGCGTTTATTCCACCATCTTGCCCTTGGGTTTTTGCTGTGAGCATTTCTTACCTAAGGTCTTGTGCAAGCATTCATTGCTTCCATGAGATGTAATTGCCTTTTGGCATTCTGCGAGATTGGCTTTGCCAGAACGGTATTGCAGCTTGAATCCGTGGCTCATGCGTTACTCCTCTGCAGGTTAACTGACCACCCCTTAGTTAGGAATTGAATTAATTCAGATCTGTATGCTAGGCAAACGTGTTCCTAGATGATATTATTTGGAAACCAGCACAACAAGGGTAGCTGAACAGCCTGTGATATAGGTCGAAAAGAGGTACCAGAGCTATAATAATAATAATATAATAATAACAATTTATTATTTATACCCCGCCCTTCTGTCTGAATTTCCCCAGCCACTCTGGGCACCTTCCAATCGAGTGTTAAAAACAATACAGCATTAAATATTAAAAACTTCCCTGAACAGGGCTGCCTTCAGATGTCTTTTAAAGATAGCTGCTTATTTCCTTCACATCTGAAGGGAGGGCGTTCCACAGGGTGGGCACCACCACCAAGTAGGCCCTCTCTCTGGTTCCCTGTAACCTCACTTCTCGCAATGAGGGAACTGCCAGAAGGCCCTTGGTGCTGGATCTCAGTGTCCGGGCTGAACGATGGGGGTGGAGACGCTCCTTCAGGTATACAGGACCGAGGCTGTTTAGGGCTTCAAAGGTCAGCACCAGCACTTTGAATTGTGCTCAGAAATGTACTGGGAGCCAATGCAGATCTCTCAGGACCGGTGTTATGTGGTCCCGGTGGCCACTCCCAGTCACCAGTCTAGCTGCCACATTCTGGATTAATTGCAGTTTCCAGGTCACCTTCAAAGGTAGCCCCACACAGAGTGCTTTGTAGTAGTCCAAGCGGGAGATAACTAGAGCATACACCACTCTGGCAAGACAGTCCACAGGCAGGTAGGGTCTCAGCCTGCTTACCAGATAGAGCTGGTAGACAGCCACCCTGGACACAGAATTAACCTGCGCCTCCATGGACAGCTGTGAGTCCAAAATGACTCCCAGGCTGCGCACCTGGTCCTTCAGGGGCACAGTTACCCCATTCAGGACCAGGGAGTCCCCCACACCCACCCGCCCCCTGTCCCCCAAGAACAGTATTTCTGTCTTGTCAGGATTCAACCTCAATCTGTTAGCCTCCATCCATCCTCCAACAATCCCCATTGTTGCGATGGGAGGGGTTGTGTGTGTGCCTTTTCTGTATATTGTAAGGACTGGTGCAAATCCAGCTTGAATCTCCACATAAGACTATCCTGTGTGATCCAGTTCAGCAAAAGCCAGGACGTTCTGTACTGGGAGTGGGAGGCAACGTTTGCTTTCATTGCAACAGCACCCTAAAGCACAGCTATACCAATTCCACATAGTGGTGAATGGTATCCATTCAGTTACGTGAAAGACAGTGAAGAGGTACACACAGAAACACTCCTGGGGTGTGGCTAAGTCAGCCCTCTGTGTAAACAGTAGTTAGGAGCACGAGCTGAATGTTAGAATCTCTTTTTTGCAACCTGATCCTCTATTCAGAAGGCACACTGATTTTATTCAAGCTTCCTTTGAGATTACTGTCTCAGTCAAGTTAGAGTGTGACAAAATGAAAATGTTGGGTGTGTGCATACATCAGAGGTTAAGGGCCACTTTCCCTTCTGGGGAACCTCCTAGGTACCATGGGCCAGTGTTAGGGTTGCCATGTGCCCTCTTTTTCCAGGACATGTCCTCTTTTTCAGGGGATAAAATTTGAGACAAATTGCATTTATTTGCTTTGAATGGCCATCATAGCGTCCTCTTTTTTTGCTCTTCAAAGTATGGCAACCCAGGATGAAAAAGTGGCCTCTTGGACCATGCCCTTGGCCAGAGCCTAATCTGTATCAGAACGCTGCAAGGAGGCTGTATTCTGCTGGAAAGACTGTATACTACAACTCAGCTGGTAAGATGCTTCTGGGACAACCACAAGCTGGACGTGATAGAATTGGCCATTGTCTGTTGCTTCTCCCCCGGCTGATACGTTTTAGGTCATCTCCTCCTTGGAAGGTAATGGAACAAGTCACCATACAGCCCTATAAGGGTCTGGTAGCCTTTGAGGAGCTGGCTGCGTATTTCTCTAAGAAGGAGTGGTCTCTGCTGGGTCGTGACCAAAAGACTCTGTACAGGGGTGCAAAAGTGGATAGAGCGATGAATGTAAATTTAACTTTGTACGGTAGGCTAATTTCTTTTCTTTTTTTGAAATAATTTTTATTTGATTTTGCAAGTGTAAGATTATAACAATACTAAATACATATCCCTATTCAGAGATTTCTCCAAATCTCTAGACTTCCCACCTTCCCCTCCATTGGTCCTATTATCAACCTCTTCAACTGCCCATTATTTCCTCGTCTAAATTTTATGTCTCTCCATTTTGTCCATAATAATTTCTATATGACAGTGGTACCTCTGGTTGCGAACGGGATCCGTTCCGGAGGCCCGTTTGCAACATGAGCAGAATGCAACCCGCGTCTGTGCGGGTCGCGATTCGCTGCTTCTGCGCATGCTCGCGGCGTCATTTTGCGCATCTGCGCATGCGCAAGTGGCGAAACCCGGAAGTAACCCTTTCTGGTACTTCTGGGTCGCCGCAGGATGCAACCTGAAAACGCTCAACCTGAAGCAAACGTAACATGAAGTATGACTCTACATGTGTTATTGCAATCCTGCTATTGTTTTCATCTGCTTACAGTGGTCTCTCAAGTAAATTGAAATTCCCCCCCATTCTTTATGAAAGTTTTGGTCTTCTTGGTTCCTGAGCTTTCCAGTTTTGCCATTTCGGCGTAGTCCAACAGCTTAGTTTGCCATTCTTCTCTGGTAGGGACTTTGTCTTCTTTCCATCTCTGGGCAATGGTAGGCTCATTTCTTCACACACTCCTCTCTGTACTCCAGTCAGAAGAGCAAGAGGCGTCCAAGTTGAAGGACACATTCAGACCAGCACCAGGGTTTGAATTATGGCTGCCTAGGGACAGTCTGGAGGGCTAGATAGAGAGGCCCCTGCACCAGAGTGCCCCCACCCCTGGATATGCATAGCTAAGTCACCCTGAGATGATACCATGAAATAGAACTGAACTTGGCTGGCAAAAATAGATCTTCTGACACACCAGCCACCTTACGCAAACAAGAAAACTGGCCCCCTTCCATTGAGCCTGCTGTCGTCGGTCCTCCTTGCTTGCCTCCGGCACTTACAAATGATGTAATGGGCTTGCCTTGTATGACAAAAAGACTAATAATTATGATTAACATCAGACAATTATCTTGGACCAAAGAGTCTTTCAAAATAGGCCTATCTCATTATGCTACTTATTCTTATTCTTTTTAAAACAGCTCAACAAGGTTCTAGTATTCCTGTCATCCCTGATTGGCTATACAGTAGTACCTCGGGTTACATACTTCAGGTTACAGGCGCTTCAGGTTACAGACTCCGCTAACCCAGAAATAGTACCTCGGGTTAAGAACTTTGCTTCAGGATGAGAACAGAAATCGTGCTCCGGTGGCGCGGCGGCAGTGGGAGGCCCCATTAGCTAAAGTGGTTCTTCAGGTTAAGAACAGTTTCAGGTTAAGAACGGACCTCCGGAACGAATTAAGTACTTAACCCGAGGTACCACTGTACTGGCTGGGGCTTATGGGAGTTGGAACCCCAGCACCATCTGTAGGGCCACAGGCTCCCTGATCCTGGTCAGTAATGAAATAAAACCTCAGGCACAATTTTTATTTTTGAAGGGAACCGTCCACGAAAAGCCAGCTATGAATTTCGCTCTGCTAGCAGGAGAAGGTAGCAAGGCAGGTCATTCCATAACATATCATAGGCTGGAAACAGAAGGATGTTGGGTGATATTCTTTTTTCTTTTCTTTTAAAAGATATTTCATGGTGTTTGAGCAAGGTCTGAGAAAACATGCCTGCAATGAGGCCTAAGCCAGAAGCCACATTAAAAAAAGAAAAAAAGAAAACAAGCCCTCCAGAATATAATTTTGGAAAACCTCAACATATTTTTGGAGGCAGGCTCAACTCGTGGTTTTGGAATATTTGAGAACAGCCGTGCTGCAGATGACGGTTGTTTTCTTTTTTATTTTTAAATGATATTTATTAAAGTTACAAAAAATAAAAGAAATACAAAATACAGAAAAAAGAGTAAAATTTTTTAAAATATAACAAAAAAGTAAAGAATAAAAAAGAAACATACAAAATAAGACAATTAAAAAGACATTAATTTTCCAAACCTATCTTCTCTAGACTTATTTCCCCGGACCTCCTCATACCTCCCTTTTTTGTATTCCAGTTCAGTTTGTTAGTTCAGCAAATCCTTACCATTAAACTTTTGCCCAATTGTAAGCCTTTTTCATATCTCTTAAAGCATTACATGCTAAAAACTCTTAGTTTCTATCCAACATCCTTCTAAGATTCACTTAATTTTACAATATTTCTGTAAATAGTCTTTAAATTTCTTCCAGTCTTCTTTCACCGACTCTTCTCCCTGGTCTCGGATTCTGCCAGTCATTTCCGCCAGTTCCATGTAGTCAATCACCTTCATCTGCCATTCTTCCAGAGTGGGTAGATCTCTAAAACCTTAGTTTTTAGCTTGTTCAGTTTAAAACCTGCCACCTGACCAAATTCTTGAATTAATTCTAAAACTCTTTTAGTGCTAGATTCTGGCTCCTGTAACGTCAATACTAAATCATCTGCAAATGCTCTCAGTTTGTACTGTTTAGCTCCGACCTGTATACCTTTAACCAACCTGTCCTTTCTAATCATGTTTAGCAGAACCTCCAGGACCCAGATGACGGTTGTTTTCATTGGGATTTTGTGGTACCTCCTGTTCTGCATTCAGCTTTAAAGCATATGATCCTATAGGAATTCCCCATATAACCCGTGATGGTATGCCTTTATATCTGCCTGCTAACCCCAACCCTCCCAAATTCCAGCATCAAATTAGAGACCAAGTGTCAAGGATATAGGAGTGCCATAGACTCCAGCAGAGCAGAAGTGGTGTGAATTCACATCGAGAAATGTTTTGGAAGATAAATGATTGGCATGGACCCTGGGCATTTTCTAGGTGGCATTTGTTAGGTGAGATTTTAACTTTGCCACTTCCTACCTTGCAACATTCCCCCCACATCCCCTAAAGCATGCTCAACCTCATCAGAACCATTTGGAATGTGGTAGAATTCCTGTACTTTTAATGAGGGTGAAAGAGGAGAGCGCAAAATATGGACTGAAGCTCAACATCAAATAATCGAAGATCATGGCCACTGGTCCCATCACCTCCTGGCAAATAGAAGGGGAAGAAATGGAGGCAGTGAGAAATTTTACTTTTTTGGACTCCATGATCACTGCAGATGGTGACAGCAGGCACGAAATTAAAAGACGCCTGCTTCTTGGGAGAAAAGCAGTGACAAACCTAGACAGCATCTTAAAAAGCAGAGAAATCACCTTGCCAACAAAGGTCCGTATAGTTAAAGCTATGGTTTTCTCATTAGTGATGTATGGAAGTGAGAGCTGTACCATAAAGAAGGCTGATCGCCGAAGAATTGATGCTTTTGAATTATGGTGCTGGAGGAGACTCTTGAGAGTCCCATGGACTGCAAGAATAACAAACCTCTCCATTCTGAAGGAAATCAGCCCTGAGTGCTCACTGGAAGGACAGATCCTGAAGCTGAGGCTCTAAAACTTTGGCCACCTCATGAGCAGAGAAGAGTCCCTGGAAAAGACCCTGATGTTGGGAAAGACGGAGGGCACAAGGAGAAGGGGACAACAGAGGACGAGATGGTTGGACAGTGTTCTCGAACCTACCAGCATGAGTTTGACCAAACCGCGGGAGGCAGTGGAAGACAGGAGTGCCTGGCGTGCTCTGGTCCATGGTGTCACGAAGAGTCGGACACGACTAAATGACTAAACAACAACAACAGAATTCCTGTGCATGCTGAAAATATATTCTGCATGCACAAACTCATACATTATACAGGCGTATCTTGGATCCCGAACGCCTTGCGAGTCAAACGTTTTGGCTCCCGAATACTGCAAACCCAGAAGTGACTTTTCCGGTTTGCAAATGTTCTTTGGAACCCGAATATCTGACATGGCTTCCGCGGCTTCCAATTGGCTGCAGGAGCTTCCTGCTGCCAATTGGAAGCCGCTCCTTGGTTTCCGAACATTTTGGAAGTCGAACGGACTTCCGGAACGGATTCCGTTTGACTTCCGAGGTACCACTGTATAGTGCATTTCTATCCAACTAAGGAGGGACGCGGGTGGCACTGTGGGTTAAACCACTGAGCCCAGGACTTGCCGATCAGAAGGTCGGCGGTTCGAATCCCTGTGACGGGGTGAGCTCCCGTTGCTCGGTCCCTGCTCCTGCCAACCTAGCAGTTCGAAAGCATGTCAAAGTGCAAGTAGATAAATAGGTACTGCTCCGGCGGGAAGGTAAACGGCGTTTCCGTGCGCTGCTCTGGTTTGCCAGAAGTGGCTTAGTCATGCTGGCCACATGACCCGGAAGCTGTACGCCGGCTTCCTCGGCCAATAAAGCGAGATGAGCACCGCAACCCCAGAGTCAGTCACGACTGGACCTAATGGTCAGGGGTCCCTTTACCTTTACCTTTATCCCACCAAGGAACTCAAGATAGCATACATAGCAACTCCCCGTTTTATCTCCACAACACCCCTGTGAAGTATCTTAGGCCGAGAAATAATGAATGACTCAGGGTCACCCAGTGGACTTCATGGGTGAGTGAGAATTTGAACCTGAGCAGGCTTGGTGGCCACCGTCGTCCCTTCGTTGCTGCCCCAACCTCCTCTCCAGTTGCAATACTGCTTCCACTTCCTCCATCCACATTGCAGGTGTTACCACGACTTCCTCTTCTCCTTCTCAGCGGTGTGACATCTGTCTGTCAATAGCAGGGTGGGATGACAACAGAGATGAGATGGAGCTGTCCAACACCCATTGAGATTGGTGTGTGCTTGTGTTAGAAAGACACACAGAAGCCCCATCCACTTCAATGTCCTGTCCTACACTCTGAGAGCCAGTGTGGTGTAGTGGTTAAGAGCGGTAGTCTCGTAATCTGGGGAACCGGGTTCGCGTCTCCGCTCCTCCACATGCAGCTGCTGGGTGACCTTGGGCCAGTCACACTTCTCTGAAGTCTCTCAGCCCCACTCACCTCACAGAGTGTTTGTTGTGGGGGAGGAAGGGAAAGGAGAATGTTAGCCGCTTTGAGACTCCTGAAGGGGAGTGAAAGGCGGGATATCAAATCCAAACTCTTCTTCTTCTCTGCTACATCTCTATAGTACCAGTTACTTGTCATCAAGGTCCTCTCCACACCATGCATTTAAAACACAAAGCTTCCCCACAAGAAACTTGGGAACTGTAGGATGCTAGAACCAAGGATGCTAGAATTGTAGCTCAGTGAGAGGAGACTACAGTTCCCATAATTCTTGGGGGGGGGGGGAGCTGTGTGTTTTAAATATGCATTTAATATCTTTTAAATGTATGGTGTGGGTGTGACTCAGCTCTGCTTGCTCTCAAACACAAATCAGCCTAGGAACTCTGTGTATTACAGTAATGTTTTAACACATGATTTCTATTAGCTTTCCTGTGTCAAGGGAACTTAACTCCTGTGTTGAAAAAAGGGGTGACCTTTCTAGATCAGGGGAAGGAGAAAAGTAGCTAGTGAGATATTTCTGGGTGATTTGCAGTAGATCAGTCAGGTTTCTGTTTAATGTGCACAAATTTGCAAAACATTTGTCTCTCATTAATATAATATATTTTGTGTGCCATTTTCACTAATTATGATATATGCCCATTTTCACTAATTATGACACTTTGCCCTAATATACCCTAATTTTTGTACAGCTTACGTGGCTGGAGAACTGCGTTGCAAAATTTGGAGAAGTGCCAGTTTCAAAGAATGGGTGTGTTTCGCTAAGTGTATTGTGCAATGTAGGTACGTTTTCTTTTAAATGTGAACAGAATGGAATTTCTTCCCCAATCCCTAGCCCTGTGGCAGCTGAGGCAAGGCAACAGAGTGGAAAGAGCACTTGTCTGAAAGCTTCAAGAGATGTTAGGTCAGCTGAGCATCCTTGAACCTGCAGTGCACCCTGAACAAGGAATCAGGCCATAAGCCAAGGACGGGGAATCTGTGACCCTCCACATGTGGTTGTACTCCATCTCCCATCAGCTCCAGCAAGCATAGTCAATGGCCAAGGATGGTGGGAGCTGGAGTCCAGCAACATCCCTGCAAAGGGATATCAGATGGGGATTCAGACTGTGACCTAGACCAGCAAGAAACATAAGTCATAAGCCAGAGTCTTAAAACCTTCCTGGGCAGATTTATCCATTGCCAATGAAGAGACTCTTGTTTATCTGTCCTCAGCCATCTTGCCTTGTCTTCACGGTCACCCAACTTGACATAAACTTCATGGAGGATCAGCTACTATCCATGACGGCAATGTTGTTCCTCCACTGTCAGAGGGAGTATGTCTCTGAATACCATTTGCTGGGAATCACATACCTGAACTTACCTTTCATGGCAACGGTCACCTCTCCAACAATACCTGCTTTTGTATTTTTCCATGTTGCCACCCACAAAAGAAATGCCTGTGTTATGTTTCAGCTTAAGTGCAAGTTTATGTTACTACCTTTTCGTTGGTAATTAATTGAAAAAAATTAATACACAAATATTTTTTTAAAAACCCAATGGTGCTATTGCACTCAGGTCCTGCTCATAGGCATGTGCAGAGGGTGTGTGTGGTTTCATTTTATGGAGTGGCAGCCCAGCCCCCTCAGCTGCCAGGATCCTCCTGAGGACGAATCACGGTTGTCCACAGTTGTGACCTTTAGAAAAAAAGGTTTACAGCCATCAACGCTCAACCCTTCCCACCATAACCCACAAAATTTAGATGTGGTGTTGTTCTTTAGTCGTTTAGTCGTGTCTGACTCTTCGTGACCCCATGGACCAGAGCATGCCAGGCACTCCTGTCTTCCACTGCCTCCCACAGTTTAGTCAAACTCATGCTGGTAGCTTCGAGAACACTGTCCAACCATCTCGTCCTCTGTCGTCCCCTTCTCTTTGTGCCCTCCATCTTTCCCAACATCAGGGTCTTTTCCAGGGAGTCTTTTCTTCTCGTGAGGTGGTCAAAGCATGGGAGCCTCAGCTTCAGGATCTGTCCTTCCAGTGAGCACTCAGGGCTGATTTCCTTCAGAATGGAGAGGTTTGATCTTCTTGCAGTCCATGGGACCCTCAAGAGTCTCCTCTAACACCATAATTCAAAAGCATCAATTTTTCGGCAATCAGCCTTCTTTATGGTCCAGCTCTCACTTCCAGAGATGTGGTAGGTATATAGAAATCTCTCACATTTGGGCAGTCAAACCACAGAAGCCACAGAGCTGGAAAGTCAAGTTATAGTTTGATGGGGAAAAAATAATGTCCTTTATGATTATGAGTATGCATTCAATAAATGTTTACCTTAAAAAAATATCTAGAATGAAATGTGCTTTGGGTGCCTCTAGCCTTGCTTGTGGGCTTCCCATAGGCATCTGTTTAGCCACAGGATGTTGGATGAGATCGGTCTTTGGCCTGATCCAGCAGGCTGTTCTTAACTGGGACTGAAACTGAGCAACAACTAGGACCCTTTATATTGCTTTCTGCAATATATCTTCTTACTGCTCTGATCCAGTTTCCTCCCCTTCTTCCTTTGAGCCATGCTCATGCATGTGGCATGAGCTCAGCCTAGAGGAGCAGCAAAGTCTTTCTTGTCTCTCATTTAAAATAAAATGCAAAAATTGACAGCTCACTTTATCATCTCAGTGTCTCCAGACCTTTCCCTCCCCGCCCCATATGCAAAGCAGAGAGAGGTTTGGCGGAGGACAGCCAGAGCTAACACACAATGTGCCTGCAAAAAAAAAGAGGGCGAAGGCGTCTGCCATCAATTGCCTCCATGGATGGGAAAACAAGAAATCTGCTCTCTTGACACCGGACCTGTAGGGGAAATCGCAAAAATATACACCGCCGAGGGTTTTCTTTTCTCAAGGCTCATCCAACCGCACGTTTATGAGCAGAAAGGGACTACTTAGAATAACACCAAGTAGCATTATAAACATGCAAACTCATAACAAGCAACCAGATGCAATTTTCACCAGCATGTGAAAGTACCGCAATATCGTTTCCCCTTCAATACACAGAGCCAAATAATCAGCCATAAATACATACATACAAAAAAAGAGTTATATACGGCCTCCTCGAGGGCAAGGCCACTCACTATAAATGTGAAGCTCCTTGCGGAGATCACCAGGGTGGAAAGAAGACTGTCAGCCATGCTAAAACTTCTCGCAAAGATCTGTGCCAGAGGGGTGAGGGTGGGTGGGGGGACATCCCATGTCTCCTTGCTAATCGTGGAATGAGATGGCAGCTGCTAGGAGCCTGTGCAGTTCTGACATCTGCTGGAGAGAACCAGAGCTTCCCAGCCATATGTCATAAACCCAATAGGTCTGGTCCCTAATGGGGAGTTGCTTTTTCCTCAAGCTCTCAACCAAGGTCACTTTTCCTGCTGGGGTGCTCTGTAATTCTACCATTCCACATGAAGCAAAAGCAAAACATTCTTCCCCTGGAAGAGAACCCCTGCCTGATAAATATATATATATATGCATATCTGAACAAATGAGCTTGTTTCACACAGTTTGAATTGCTATAACCCTGAGTAGTTTTGCAGCTTGTGTTTTTTTTTAATAACAATAAAATGTAAGACCTTTTGATCTGCAGGATTTGGGATTAAAGGAAATAAGGTTTATGAACTAGGAAGATTTGCAAGAGGGAACCAAAAGTTGTGGATAAGCAATTGGGTAAAGTGAAGAGGACTGAGCCCACAGAAGGCAAAGCAATGGACATCATTATTGTAAGGATGGGGAAACTGTGGTTCTCCAGATATTGTTGGACACAAATTCCATCAATCCCAACCAGCATGGCCAACGATTAGGGGTGTCAAGACCTATGTGGAGGGCCATAGCTTCCCCATCCCTAGCCTAAAAAGTTAAAATGGAGTATTCTGAAATACTTTTGGGGGTGGCAGTTGGGGGAGTAAAAATGCACTTCAGATAGAGCAGATCTGTTCATAGGAGATACAAAAAAAAAAAAGACTGAAATGAAATTGGCACTGGCACTGGCAGGAAGAGGAGGAGGAGAATTAATGCTATGATCTAAAGGAAAGACGAGGGTGGTGCTGTGGTCTAAACCACTGAGCCTAGGGCTTGCCAATCAGAAGGTCGGCAGTTCGAATCCCCGCGACGGGGTGAGCTCTCGGTCCCAGCTCCTGTCCACCTAGCAGTTCAAAAGCATGTCAAAGTGCAAGTAGATAAATAGGTACCGCTCTGGCGGGAAGGTAAACAGCATTTCTGTGTGCTGCTCTGGTTCACCAGAAGCAGCTTAGTCATGCTGGCCACATGACCCGGAAGCTGTATGCCGGCTCCCTCGGCCAATAAAGTGAGATGAGCGCCGCAACCCCAGAGTCGGCCACGACTGGACCTAATGGTCAGGGGTCCCTCTACTTTTACCTTTAAAGGAAAGAGCCAGTACTTTATACTGGATTTCTGTTAGCAACAAAAACCCAGAACAGAGCAGAACTTTCTGACCCAAAAGTATGTGCCATGAAAAATTGAATTTTCATGATGTTGCGTTCTGTAGCTATTGATTAAAAATAAACTAACCAGGTTCTCGCCTGGTTAAGACTGCCAGACTGGAGAACATTCATGCACCCTCTGCATCAGGGGTAGTCAATGTAGTGCCCTCCAGATGTTGTAGACTACAGTTCCCATGATCCCTGATCCTTGGCCATGACAGCTGGGGCTGATGGGAACTGCAATCCACAGAATCTGGAGGGTGCCATATTTGCTTCCCCTTCTCTGAATTTTCCAATGCCGTAAGAGGTAAAGTGCCCATGGCCTCTCCTGTCCCTCCCCTCCCCAGCCCTGTCATTTACCCTCCTCTGCAGCCTGCAATAACTGATGGGGTCTTCAGGTGTGCCATACATCAAGTTGGTGGAGCTATGTTTGTGTGTGTGTGTAGCAACTGGGAAGCAACAGGCAATGGAATCTGTGACTGCCTTGTCCCCTGATGCATTGAAAGATTTAATGGTGTATGGCTGTTTCCCGGCTTTGAAACGTATTGCCTAGAATATACACAACCTTGAATATGACATGATGAATAGATGTGGGAAGAGCCATTCAGCTCAGAGAAGTGTGGTGTTCCTAGAGAGATCCAAGGATGCTTTAAAGGCTCCAAAGAACAGGGGAAGAACAGGCTTTTGATCTACACTGGAAAATTCTGAGATAATTCAGCCCAAGTCCTATGCCTAGGGTAGCAAATGTGATTCACTCCAGATGTTTTTGGACTCAAATTCCCATCAGCCTGAGCCAGCATGGGCAGTGGACAATGATGGGAACTGTAGTCTGTAATATCTGGAGGGCACCATGTTGGTTTTCTCTGCCCCACACAGAATGCATCCCATCTCTCAAATGTAGACCATTTATCCTTTCTGTTTTGGGATTTCTTACTGCTGCTGTGCAGATGAGGGGTTCCACCCTGAGAGAATGGAGAGGTGTGTGTTGCAAAGCTGGGAATTGGTCCGGGAGTCCAAAGCCTCTGGCTCGAACCCCTTGCCTTTCCATTGTCCCCTGGGCCATCTGCCTGGGGCAACTGTTGCTGCACATGTTTCCTTCTACAGTTTCAGCTGGCGATGCATGGAAATTGCATCTTCTTTGTCGGGAGAACATGCAGGCTTGGGCAGCGGATGAGACAAGAGAACTATAAAAGCTGGATATTGCTCTGGTGTAGAATCTTGGAAGTTTTTTTTTTGTCGTATTTGAAAGATCGTTTCAAGGACGTGGGGGAGAGAGAAAATGAAATAAAAAGTGGCTGGGCGGGTGGAGGGGGAAGAAGAGAAGCAACAACAGGCGGGAAACCAGCTGTGGAACATCTGCATTGTATTACGAACATGTGGATCCCTTCAGACAAGTTGCACACTTCTGAAGGCTGCAAACATTCAGAGGGTGCAAACATTCACCCCACCCTATCCCAATGCAGGCGACAGCCCAGCTCTATTAAAAGCAGCCGCCGTTATAAGTAGCAGTTGAAAGGGTCTGGATGGGAATTCACCTTACTTAACACGGCTCGATTTAGACTGGGGGTTTGGCAACGCATCTCTACGAGAAACAAGCCTGTTCCCAAACTGATGGTGTAACCATTGCTAGAAGATGAGAGGATTTGACAGTTGTCTTGTTTTTGTCTGGTTGCGCCAGAAAAATCACTTTTATAATCTGATTATTTAGAATAACAATGAAATGTCTTTTAGTATAGGGAAATGTCACAAAGGGAAAAGGTGCCTGTCTGTATCAGAAATGGTAAAATACAATAGGATGTGCTACTTATTTGTCGTTATAAGGAGGGTGTTTTGTTTTTAAGGATTGGGTCATTCTTTTCCCTGGAAGATGCCAAGAAGTAGTGATTTCAACGATTCCTCAGAGAGAAACGAGATTAAACAATTGTTAGGAAGAGATGCAATGGAAAAGATAGACTCATTTGAATTAATAAGCACAACTAAAGGTTCCTTGATTTCAGCCGTTCTGCTCTGTGTAGCAGTAGCATTTGGATATAACCCCTAATGTTTTTTTACTGGGTTCCCTAGGCAAAACAGCTCATGGACTGTACCACTGCAGAATAGATGCTAGGGATGGCTGAATGCTCCTGATATAATGTGTATGGGGTTGTACATAGAGAACTAGGTACAGTGGTACCTCGGGTTAAGTACTTAATTCGTTCCGGAGGTCCGTTCTTAACCTGAAACTGTTCTCAACCTGAAGCACCACTTTAGCTAATGGGGCCTCCTGCTGCTGCCGCACCACCGGAGCACGATTTGTGTTCTCATCCTGAAGCAAAGTTCTTAACCAGAGGTACTATTTCTGGGTTAGCGGAGTCTATAACCTGAAGTGTCTGTAACCTGAAGCATCTGTAACCCAAGGTGCCACTGTATAGAAGAGAAGGGATTTTTTTGTCTAGTTTCCTCCCTGACATTCTCCTTTTCCAAGTGTGTGTGAATGAATACTTAGTCACAGGGGAGCTTTCAGTCATGCAATCTACCATTTGCCCCCATAGTACAGTCCAGGAAGGGAGTGACAACAGGGCAAATCATTTGTTTAGAAATTTGCTGAATTTCGTTGTGCGCATTCAGAGATAATTCCCAATATTTGTGATGTTCTCTTTGTTTAAAAAAAAGAAAAGAAAAGAAAAGAAAAGTGTGGTTTATAGGTTCAGCACCACTAATCTGCCAAGCACATGGTGCCCAACCATTTACTGATCTGTAACCCACATAATTTGGCGGAATCCTGGGTCACATCCCAAAGTGTCCCCTAGATCTTTCCTGAGTGCAAACTACTGGGACATTTTCCCAGGATAATGTATGGGTATATCCATACAACCTCCCCCTTCCAGACATACCACATGGATACTTAAACATCAGAGTAGCTTAATGTGCTATGCTTTGTTTTTGGTTTTTTTTAAATGATATTTATTAAAGTTTCACATGAAAAGAGAGACATCAATAAGAACAGAATTTAAAAGTAAAAAGAAAAATACACAATACAAAATACAGAAAGAAAAAAAAGAAAAAACAGTTAAAAACAATTCCATCTTTTCATCACTACTTTTAGATTTACTTATTTTCTGGACCTCCTCATACCTCCCTCTTTTGTATTCCAATTCAGTTTGTTTGTCCAGCAATTCCTTTCCCTCCTTTTTAATCCCAATCCTTAATCTTAATATAATATAACATTAAATTTTTACCTATTAATAGCCAATTTTCCATTCTTGTAACCTTTTAATCCTAATCCTTAATCTTGATCTGTATATAACTTTAAAGCCTGTACAGCTAGAAACCACTTAATTTCAATCCATCATCACTCTAACATTCTTTAATTTTGCAATATTTCTGTAGGTAATCTTTAAATTTCTTCCAATCTTCTTCCACCGACTCTTCTCCCTGGTCACGGATTCTGCCAGTCAGCTTAATGTGCTATGTTAGCCCTGGATGGCGAGCCGCTGATCTGCCCAAAGTCCTGACGACGAGTAGTAGGTTGAAGAGTTCTGAGCAAACGTCAAGCAACATGGGTGTGGCGCCCAAATATCAGATTATTTATTAGTCCATAGCTGAACAGCTTGATGTGATTATCAAAACACTGTAACTTCCCACAGTCACGTATTGGCTTCTGCAATAGCACCAGGAATACTCGATCTTTAATATTTAATAATATTTAGCATTTAGATAGGGCATTTCAAGCGTTCACATCCATTATGTCAATAATCTTTACAACAGCCCTTAAGGCACGAGCAGTGTTACATCTCAGCAACTCTGAAGTAGGTTAGAAATGAGAAAGAGTGACTGCCTTAAGCTCACCTGGTGAGCTTCATGGCTGGATGGCCTCACCAATATGCGCTAAATGCTGTATAAACTAAGCTGGTGCCCTCTCTTACCTGCCTCCCCAGATGGTGTTGGACTACAACTCCCATTATCCATGACGATTGGGCACACTGGTTGAGGTTGTTGGGAGTTGTAGTCCAACAACATCTGGAGGACAGCAGTTTGGAGGTGGCTGATTTAACATTCATGAACACCACCCCGAAAAAATTGGAGGTTATTCTGACCCGCAAAAACAACACACTCCTGCCACAGGTAAAACAAGAGCAATCAGCTCTGCTTGTCAGCCATCTCCTTTAACTCAGAAAGGATGTTAAAGGCATAAAAACTGTTGTGACTCTAGTTGCTAATCACATTCATGTGCCCATCGCCACTCACCCAATGTCCGCACACATCAGCCCTCTTCGTACATCTGGGTTGAACATTCATGCCCTAGAATACCTGAAGGAGCGTCTCCACACACATCGTTCTGCTCGGACACTGAAGTCCAGCTCTGAAGGCCTTCTGGCGGTTCCCTCGCTGCAAGAAGCCAAGTTACAGGGAACCAGGCAGAGAGCCTTCTCGGTGGTGGCACCTGCCCTGTGGAACACCCTCCCACCAGATGTCAAAGAAAAAAACAACTACCAGACTTTTAGAAGACATCAGAAGGCAGCCCTGCTTAGGGAAGCTTTTAATGTTTAATAGACTATTGTATTTTAAGATTTTGTTGGAACCTGAGTTCGGAAATAGGCCTAAGCACAAGTACTTCTCACTTTATTGATCAGCCATGGAGGATTCTGGTAGCCTGAATAGAAAAGTGGGGTGGGAGACACACTAACAAATAAATATGAGGGCTATCAATAGCAGGATCTTGTCAGTAGTGAACACACAGGATTCTCCTGAAGGAGGGGTGGAGAGTGGGCAAGAGAGAGAGAGAGGCTCAGTTGCCTTAGCCACTTGCACGGGCTTCTCTTGGTGTGGCAATGCAGGCAGAGAAGAAACACAGAGCGATTGTTTGGGGCCTCCAGAAAATGCATCCCTTCTCCCAAGCTTTTCTACCCAGTGCTGCTTGTGAGGTATCCACCTCGGTCTAGTAATTATGAGGGTCATATTAAGGACCAGAGGCGGCACCCGTTGAGATGATCTCATCTGATGGAATTTTCCATTCTGACATCAACAGACTTAGCGGCTACTGTGGGATGGGCGTGTAAAGACCTGGTGTCTCAGACCAGCCACAAATATAGAAGCTTAGAGCTGGGTGGGGCTCTGAGGGTCATCAAGTTAAACATCCTCTGTCAGGCCTGAACTGCCTTGTAACAACAAAAGTTGGTTTAGCAGCCTCTTCTAAAAAGCCCTCTGAGGATATCTCACTGCTTCGACAGGCAACTCGCTCTACTGCCCAGTTGTTCTACTCTGAGAATTTCAGATGACTTTTGTGCTATTTGATTCCCCCACCCAAGCCACACTATTGTATCCAACCCCATAGTGTTTCTTGGGGGTCATTAAGGAACAGACAAAAAAATTTCCTCTGTTTTCCTCAATGTAGTTTTCTATGCACAAACTGGTGTGAGTGCATGCTTCCAACAGCCTTTTAAAGCCATTCAAAAGTTTGAGTATCTTCTAAGGCTGCAGTAAATATTCTTCTATTTCGATTCTTATGCTGGAGCTCTTGATTTTTCTGGGTGATGGAGAATAAGAAATATATCCTGGAAAGCCCCTCAATTGTGAAAAATGTCATATATATAAATCTGTTTTTAGTTCTATTTCCCTTATCAGTTGATGCCTTAGCACATGGGTAGGCAAACTAAGGCCCGGGGGCCGGATCCGGCCCAATCGCCTTCTAAATCCGGCCCATGGACAGTCTGGGAATCAGCATATTTTTATATGAGTAGAATGTGTCCTTTTATTGAAAATGCATCTCTAGGTTATTTGTGGGGCCTGCCTGGTGTTTTTATATGAGTAGAATGTGTGCTTTTATTGAAAATGCATCTCTGGGTTATTTGTGGGGCCTGCCTGGTGTTTTTACATGAGTAGAATGTGTGCTTTTATTGAAAATGCATCTCTGGGTTATTTGTGGGGCATAGGAATTCGTTCATTTCCCCCCAAGAAATATAGTCCACCCCCCCACAAGGTCTGAGGGACAGTGGACCAGCCCCCTGCTGAAAAAGTTTGCTGACCCCTCTGCAGCTTTCTGATTCTTCCTTCTTCCTTCTGGACCAGATGTTGGGACCATCTTTGTGACCAATTAGGGATCACAGAGTGATTGAGATGAAGACATGATGCTCATATAGCCAACAATATCTGACTACAGGATTATGTCAGTGATGGCAACAAATGTCAGTTGAGAGAGGGGGTAGTTTTTTTGTGAATCAGTCATGTGGGTAGATCCAGCCAATTGGGGACCACACAGTAAATGAGATTATGTGGCCTAGTGATTACATAGTCACGGGGCAAGAGAGGGCAATGTATGCCCATAGACAAATATTTTGATTACACTGAGCACCTTCATATTCACCACTTCTTCATCCAAGATTTCAATGGAAATGTTGACTTAGAACTGGAGCCACTGTGGAATACTTTCTCTTACCCCTTAGAGGGTACCTTTTAAATGATCATGGGTGCGTTCATCTTATAACGTTGCCATTTAATCAATTTTTCTTCCGCGTTCACCAGGGAGAGTCTTTTCCGTTGTTTTTGTTTAGGAAAGCATTCGCTGACGATGGAGCCACTTGCTGCACAGATGCTTTTAATTTATGTAGTTGCTGGGCTAGGGAGACTGTTGACTTTATGACTTCTGTTTAAAGTGTTGATTGTTTTATATGATGATTTTATGACATTTTATGGATGTTATCATTGGTGTGTTGCTTTGGGTGTCATATGTATATATGCATTTCTATACTTTTGGGGGGGTGGGGAATGGGATGTGTTAAGTTTCAATAGGCCAAATTTGATAAATATGCTGGGGTGCTGAATTTTGCACCCAGTCCAAAATTCTGCATTCTGCAAGGTGCAGACACTGTATTGGGGAGCAGAAGAAAGAGGAAGCTATTGTCCTCCTCCTCTGCTTGTTGGTTTCCTGGAAGCATCTGGGCTGGCCTCTTTGGTAAGTAGGATGCTAGAAGGGATGGGCTTTTCTTATGTTCTTGTTATTATGTTCTTGTTCCTAACAGATTCCTGCCTGTTCTTTCCTTTGCAGGGGTCCCTTCATGTGTCTTTTTTTATTGTGTGCCATGAAGATTGTGCTCATGATATTGAGGCAGAGTGTGGTGTAGTGGTTAAGAGCAGTAGACTTGTAATCTGGTGAACCGGGTTCGCCTCTCCGCTCCTCCACATGCAGCTGCTGGGTGACCTTGGGCCAGTCACACTTCTCTGAAGTCTCTCAGCCTCACTCACCTCACAGAGTGTTTGTTGTGGGGGAGGAAGGGAAAGGAGAATGTTAGCCTCTTTGAGACTCCTTTGGGTAGTGATAAAGCAGGATATCAAATCCAAACTCTTCTTCTTCTCTTCTTAACAGCTCCAGATGCTGCCTGATGAAAACTCTCCTCACATCCAGAGCATTCCTTGTTTCACCCAGCTGATCTAAGCACTCAGTCCTGCAGTAGCGGGGCTGGGGGCTAAGTGAATCTGACTTGCTTTCTGTGGTGTGATTCCATCTCCTGTGTGGAAAAACAAAGGTGCGTTCCAACATCATTGACCGAGAAGCCTTGCAAAAATACTCATTTTACAAGGAATTATGTTCTTTGGCTTATCCCTCTAAGGGGCGATGCCCTCCCTGTTCTCCTCCGCCCTTTTGACATGTCTCCCAAAGAGTAAAAATGAAAAAACAACAACACAAAAAACACCCCATAATATTTCATCTCTGACCTTCCAGTTTGCAGCCAAGAGAGACAAAACTGCCTTCCATTTGTCTAGGCCAAGAGAACAGAACATTATAAAACCTTTTCAGACTTTAAAAAAGTTACTTTTTAATAGTCACTGTGGGTTTTCATTCCCTGCCTTTTAAAAAATGATCTTAAAAAAAAAAAGCCCCCCAAATCTCACAATCTCAAGGAGGTGAGGGTAGCCATCTTTCTCTGCTGCCCAGCTCCCTTCCTTGAGATTTGGACTGCAAAAAGTCTTTAACCTTCAGATCCCATTGAGTTTCTTCCAAGTTCGTATTTATGCCGCATGTCAAGGAGTGCAGCCTCATACCTTTAGAATGACAATGTAAGATCAGTGCACAACCATGCAAGTTCATGTGTTTGCAATTTACAGCCCTGCACTTCTTCACATCGAATTGCATTTGCCATTTTATTGCTTGTTCACTCAGTTTGGAAAGATCTTTTTAGAACTCTTCATAATCACTTTGTTTCAATCGCTCTGAACAGTCTGGTGTCTCAGAAAACGTGTCTACCTCACTTTCCAAATCTTGCTAAGCAGTTTACAAAACACATGGACCCTCCCTTTTATTGTTTTGCCCCTAGAAATCAGCCCATCTCAGACTTTGGGTACACCAAACAAAGGACCTGTGCTGGGCCCGGGCGGGTAACCCGTGAAACACGGTCCAGGTCTGGTCCAGAACCCGAAGGTTCCGCTGGGAGACAGTCTGACAGGGCCAAGGCAGGACACAAGGCAGGAAACCAGGCAAGGACAGCTACAGGATCTCAGGCAGGATCTAGCACACAGAAATGTTGCTCCCGCAACCTGGGCCGGGGTCCGACAGCCTTTTAACTTTGTCGTGGTAATGGCCGGAACTGATCCCCCGGTGACTCACCTCCCTGTTTTGCCCGAAGGCGAGCACTCCTCCTGCGAGTACTCAGGTCTCTCCTTCTCTCAAACCTCAGTCTCTGCAGCACGGGAGACTTGGTGGGTTACTAGACCTAGAGGCCGCCTCAGCCTCCCCTGACCAAACCAGTAGTGGAGCAGTTGTAAGTAATGGCCCAACTGCAGGCAACAAGGTAATCCCCGCATCTGGAGCCAGGGCAGGCTCGGGCCCCTGACTTGGCCCAGCTGGTGTTTGTTGCAGAGGAACCTGTTCAGACTGGGACTCTTCAGGATCAGGCCCCAGACTTGGTTCAGATGATGCCTGAGGCAAAGGATCCAGTGCAGACTGAGTCTCCTCTGGTTCCGAGTCTGAGCCCGAGTCCCAAGCCATCACAGGACCCTCTCTTACTTATTGCCTCACCCCAGGTGTGCTTAATGCATAAGGATGAGATTATCCTGTTTTATACTGCAGATGGGTGGTTGTCTGTGCACAGGTGAGGTTGTGTTCCTGGAGCTCGGGACCAGCCCGCCCATAAGGCAGACAGAAGGTGGAAGAATCCCAGTGGGGTGGCATCTCACTTCTGCCACCGGGGAAGCAGCAGCAGCAACAACAAGAAGAAGCAGGTTCTGGTGGGAGCTCACGAGATTTTGCAGAGTCCTCGCATGATCTTGCAGGGCTCTGTGGGAGAACTTGCTGCTGCCGCTGCTGCCATGTCCCTTCCCTTCTCGGTGCCGCCTCGGGTACCTCCCACTCCTCACAAAGAGAAATAGCTGCAGAACTCAGTTTCTGAGTTCTGCAACCACTTTTCCCATGGGGGTCTGTCCCTGAAACCCAGAAGCCACAGCAGCAGCCACACAACCCTGAGAAGCGAGGCTGTGGTGGTGAGGCAGCAAGGGGGCAGCAGCACTGCACTGTTTTGCCTCAGGTGACTGGGAGCAGCCACCAAGACCACATAACACCGGTCCTGAAAGACCTATATTGGCTCCCAGTATGTTTCCAGACACAATTCAAAGTGTTGGTGCTGACCTTTAAAGCTCTAAATGGCCTCAGCCCAGTATACCTGAAGGAGCGTCTCCACCCCCATCATTCTGCCTGGACACTGAGGTCCAGCTCCGAGGGCTTTCTGGCAGTTCCCTCATTGCGAGAAGTGAGGTTACAGGGAACCAGGCAGAGGGACTTCTCAGTAGTGGCGCCCTCCCTGTGGAACACCCTCCCATCAGACGTCAAGGAAATAAACAACTATCTGAGTTTTAGAAGACATCTGAAGGCAGCACTGTTTAGGGAAATTTTTAATGATTGATGTTTTATCGTGTTTTTAATATTTTGTTGGTAGCTGCCCAGAGTGGCTGGGGAAACCCAGCCAGATGGGCGGGGTATAAATAATAAATTCTTCTTCTTCTTCTTCTTCTTCTTCTTCTTCTTCTTCTTCTTCTTGGACAGGCTGCCCCTGCTGGTGATAACTGACTGGCTGTTTCATCTCCAGGAGATGTGGTCTTGGAGTGCACCAGTGAAAGAAGCTCTCCATTCTCACCCATTTCTGGGTTGTAAATTTAGTCCTGGACTTCAGCATTGTCCTTGACATCTTACCCCCGCCCACCCTGTTGCAGAATTCAGCAATCAGCCTGTTGACTGCCCCAGACATGCCAATTCTGGCATGACTGCATTGGCTGTCAATTACTTTCTGGGCCCATTTCAAAGTGCTGGTAGTGACCTCTTAAAGCCTTGTAAAGCTCAGGACCCCAACTGCTGCCTCACCCCACGTGAACCAATGCAGGCCCTGTATTCATCACCCAAGATGCTTCTCTGGTTGCCTTCTCCAAGGGAGATGTAGAGGGTGGAGACACAAGAACAGGAGCTCGCAGTTGTGCCCGCCACTGGCATGTGAGCCCCGCAAAATGTGTCTGGAGGAGAAGGTTGTCCTCACGCCAAGAACGTTGCCTCCCTCGCCTGCCTGCCCTGTGCAGTGCTAAACTCTGTGTAGACTGTACACAATAAAAGTTGTGACCACCTAAATGGCTTTTCCTTTGGTCAAGCCATTCCTACTCTCCCTCTCCATCCCTGTTCAGTGCTGGGAGCACAAAACTGCACTGAAAGATTCTAACAATATCCAACCTCCTGTGAGCCAGCAAGCGACCGAGTGAGGCCTGTGCATCTGTGCCTAGAAGGACTCATTATCCAGACGGATATTGGGGGTGTTTAAATAGATGCTTTAACCACACTCTAATATCACAGAAGACAAACTGTTTGTTTTCAGGTTTTATCCCCTTCCGCTCCCACACTGAGGAAAGGCCCACTGTGTATGTTATTATGAACGTGATCGACAGAGTTACGGCTGGCACTGTAAAAAAGTAATTACAAATTATGAAGGAATGAATACGGTTGTTACAACATTTGAATGAGGTGCCCCAGCTATGTGTCTTGCAAAGATTTAAAGCCTTCTTCTTTATTTTCTCTATCCATCCATCCTTATTAATATGTACATAAAAGGTGAAGCACTAGCGTATGCTATTAAAATGGCCTTTGAAAAGAAGACCTGTCAGGGTGACACTGTGGTCTACAGTACAGGAGCTGTGAATGTATGGTAGCAATGTGTGGTGTTTTCTGTCTTCTGGCTGGAGAGCCAAGCAGCCAATGCTCACACAAACAATCTTAAGACCAAGAAGAGCTATTCTTCTAAATGCCACATTTTAGGAAACTTCTTTTTTCATTTATATTTTATTAAATTTTAAAAATTGTTATGCATACACTCCAATACATGATCATTTTTTCTTTTCTTTTTTCAACTTCCCACCCCATTTTCCATGTTTTTTTAAAAAATTATTTCTCCCCCGTGCTGCACCTTATCTTCTTTTATATCATAACAACAATACAATAATCTCTTAATTCCTTCTGTTGTTCATAGTTCAAATCCTGCTTGAGAATCCATCATACTATAGTATTTCTTTAAATAATCTGAAAAAGGCTTCTACTCTTCCACAAAGCAGTCATCATTAGGTTTTCTTATTTTTTACTGTTAGGTTTGCCAATTCTGCATAGTCCACTTTACTTTTTCCAATCTTCTTTGGTGGAAACTTCTTCTTCCTTCCATTTTTGTGCATGGAGGTCCTAGCTGCTGTTGTTACATACATAAACAACTTAATCAATTAGGAAACTATTTTAGAATAACTAGCAGCCTCGTGATCAGCATTGCTTGGAAATTCAAAGTAAAAAAATCCACTCTACAATTCTATGAGTCTATGATTCCTCTACAAAAGGAAGCCAAGTTATGTGTGCATGTTGCCTCTGGGTGGATTGGGACAGATGTGTTTTTTTCTGGCTACTGAATTTAGAAATTCCGTTTGATAGTTCCCATTGAATCTTTTAAATATATACAAAGTGAGTTGTTTTTATATTTTATTGTGTCATACTATTATAAAAGCTGCTTGGACAACACCTCCCCCAAAGTGTGGAAGTAGAAAAAATTATCCTACTGTCTTTGGTTCTTCGCTTCTCAGTTATTTGTCTCTGTACTCTGATTCTACCCAAAGTCCTGACTCTGAGAGAGGTAACAGTTAAAAAGAACTGTGTGGTGTTGGAAGCAACAGGGTTTATTTATATGACCTTAGGCGTCAGATAACTTATCAGGGAGTGATTCCTAGGTGCTGTTTTGAGCTATTCTTCCTGGTTGGAAACACAGCTACAATGATTATTTTAAATGTGATTTCCAAATTGCGTGTGAAGACCCCCAAAACCACCCCCAAATGAAGACACAATAGACACAGATTTTAGTTTAAGGTTTTTGGCATTAAATTTTGGCCACAACTTTATTGATTACAGCATGTGAGTGGTTGCTTAGGCATTGGTTCCAGACTACCTGAACCTGCACGGTGGCTGGAACAGGACTGATACTGGGCACCACCATATGTCAGTAAGGGAAAGCATCCTATGGGAGCAAGAACTCCTTCGATCTCACAACTCACCCCAGATGCTCCCAGGGGCTCTGGCATGGCCCTAGCCCCTTGACAGGGTTCGGACAAAAGCAAGGCGAGCCCCTGGATTCCTTTAATGGAATTCCCTAGCAGCAGCAATGGAGGGGCAGGCACAGCCAACCATGTCCCCTCCCCAAAACATTGAACCAAATGCCTAACCACCAACCTTACAAAGTTGTGACGATTTGCTACACGGTAGTCAAAAACCAAGTGGCACCAGCCAATCAGCCAAATGGCAAAATTCCTACCGGGGCCCTGCTCCAAAACAGACGACCCCTAGACAGGCATAGCAAGGCCGTAAGAACAACCCTAAATATAGGGAAAGGAGGATGGGTGATCTGCTGCACGTCGCAAGAAAGTGAAACTCTCCAGCGACATGCAGCAGCTAAAGTAGCCCCTCAGCAGCCAACAGCCAACCCAACTGACCAAATTTCTGCCCCAGCAACAGAAGGGCAACCAATGGAGCGTTGTGGCCATCCAAATGGTCCCGCCCCACAACAGGGAGGCAGTTTCTGGTGATCTCACCGCAACACGTGCCATGATGGAGGACCCGACTTACAGGATTCTGATATTCAAACTGGAAATAAACTCATGTATAGATGTGCAGATTTCTGATTCTCCAATGTTGTGTATGCACATGGAAACCCAGCTTCCTAAGCTGGAAATGCATCCATTTCAGAGTACTGCAAAATAGGACGATGGCTCTGGTTCCTGCTGCAGTGTCCTTTGGGGAGAAGAGAAGTCTGTGCTCCCCTACCTAATATTCTGCTGCTATCAGACTGTGCAGCCTCAACTCAAGAAGCAACAGGCCTCCTTCAGTCTTTATGTCTGGCCAATCTACAGTAATCCTATTCATTGTATGTGTTTTATTGTGCTATAAAAAGGTGGAGACCTTTGCAGTTCAGCTTGTCAAGGAGTGGGGGAGAGGGGAGGGGGGAGGAAGGAGAATCCTATTGAGATTAATGGATAGAGCAGAAAATAAAAAGCAATGAAAGCTTCGGTGTGAAAGGTATGAGTTTAGGTAAACGGCCATGCCCTTTGGAAGCAGAGAAGATGATGTTCTTGCTATTAGATACAGCACTCTCATCTCTTCTGCCCCTCAATAGCTGAAAAGAGAAGACGGGGGAGTTAGACGCCTAACATCACAGATCTCCCAAAATTGGGAATGGAAGGTGAAGCTCCCAAGCTGGGAATAAAACCTGAGATAACCAGTTCACACATGCATGTGGACAAATTGTAGGTAGGTTTTACTGAAAAGCACCAGACAAGTGCAGAATATCCATGTGATTCAAGATGAGGTTGCAAGTTGTTCATCTGGGCTAGTGCTACCATATTGGGGTAGACATTGATGCCAAAATCCAGCTTCACCTGAGCTCTGTGAGTGCAGCTTTCTCCCAATTGAAGTGCAGAGTGTTTGAGGACTGGGACATTCGCAGGGAAACCAAAATGTTTGCCTACAAAGCTATTGTACTACCAACCTTACTGTATGCTTGTGAAACGTGGACCACTTACAAACACGATCTCCAACTCCTCGAAAGATTCCATCAACAGTATCTCAAAAAAAATTTACACATCACTTGGGAAGACAGGCGAACTAATGCCAGTGTCCTGGAAGAAGCAAAGATCACCAGTGTCAAAGCAATGATTCTTCAACATCAACTTCGTTGGACTGGTCATGTTGTTTGGATGCCTGATTATCGTCTTCCAAAGCAACTACTCTAATCAGAACTTTAAAATGGAAAGCGTAATGCTGGTGGTCAACAAAAGAGGTACAAAGACTGTCTCAAGGCAAATCTAAAAAAATGTAGTATAAACACTGACAACTGGGAAACACTGGCCTGCAAGCACTCCAGTTGGAGAACAGCCTTTACCAAAGGTGTCATGGGCTTTGAAGACACTCGAACTCAGGACAAAAGGGAGAAATGTGCTAAGAGGAAGGCACGCTTGGCAAATCCACACCATGATCAACTCCTGCCTGGAAACCTATGTCCCCACTGTGGAAGGATGTGTGGATCCAGAATTGGCCTCCGCAGTCACTTACGGACTCACTTTTAAAACTGTGTTTATGGAAAACAGTCTTACTCGGCTACGAGTGATCGCCAAAGAAGAAGAAGATTGGGCCATAACATCTGGCTACCATGATGTGTGAAATGGAGGTAGGAGGAGTCAAATAATAATGGCTGTGTGTACAGGCCCCAGATCCCACAACCGGCCCCTCTGCACTGTGATCCAGCCAGTTGTAAGCCCACTGGTGGCCCCACACATTTCCACAGAGAAGCATTAACTTGCCTGGACCAGGCCGCTGTATTTTTGAGGTGACAGGAAATTTCGGCCTGTGATGCTGGATGTGTGCAATGGTTCATTTGCATGTGCAATAGGGGTGAGCTCTGAATGGCTTCCCACTTCCCAGAACATAAGCAAACAAGAGCTCAGGCCTTTTCTGAAGCTGGAGGGTTGCCAACAATCTAATGTTTTTACTTGACCATTCAGTATCAGCCAGGCCATTTATTGAATCAACATGGTATCTTGAACTGGGATTGGTTAAATTCCCATCCCTCTCATTGGCCTCACACATCCTCTAGGTTCTGCCCCTTGGCAGGCCAAAATTTTATTTATACCCCACCCATCTGACTGGGTTGCCCCAGTCACTCTGGGTTGCTTCCAACATATATTTAAAAAAACATTTTAAAAAATTGACATTAAAAAAACTTCCCTATACAGAGTGGCCTTCTGTTGTCTTCTAAAGGTTTTACAGTTGTTTATCTCCTTGACCTGAGGGTTGCACAACTCCATTTATCCGATGAAATTGGATAAATCCAACATTTATCCAATGAAAATAGGGACGTTCTAAGGAAAAGCGGGAAATTCTGGGATCAAATAAGAAATGGGATGTGAATCTGTAAATCCGGGACCATCCATTGAAAATAGGGTGCTTGAAGGGTTTAAAACACGGGTAGGCAAACTAAGGCCCAGGGGCCAGATCCGGCCCAATCACCTTCTAAATCCGGCCCATGGACGGTTTAGGAATCAGCATGTTTTT